TTCCTCTGTCAGCTAAAGGCATGTTTTACAGTCTCTATACTCCAGCTAACGATGAATCGATTACTAAATTAGTTGACGATTATTTCAATAATCGATTAATTTGATAATTTCAGCCCTATAGTTACAACAGAAGTAGAGTTAGACTTGACTGTGGATTTAAAGAAAGCCTGTGTTTACCAGAAGCATCGTAGCTTCAGGTACAGATGCTCCGGTTGATTTCTGCTGCTGCTGTACGATGAGGAAACGGGTGCACATATCGGCTAATTCAGAAACAAGAAGAAAACAGCAGATTCCTCCAAAAATGAATCCTGTAGAATTGATCAAGGGATGTGTATGAAGATGGGAACCCATTTCATACACATCCCTGGAATACCAGCTGGCTCCATGGTAACAATTAGTGATGGTTTATGATAGCCTGACATAGTCCGACTCAATTCTAGTCAGAATATGAGTCTGATACTGCTCCATAGAGCTGTGATTATGGGGCGTGTTTCGAACGAACCAGGAAAAAAAATGCCTCTGCACTCAATTGGATAGACCTACAACCAATAAGAGCAACGGAGTGCGTGACGTATGTTAAGCGAGGCATAGTTGTTGTCCACAAAAATCAAAGCGTGCAGTTTCACGCCTCGAATAAGAAGATGAGACTTGATCGCGTTTCTCTGTTCCTCTTTTAAAATTAATTTGCTGTCGATATCTTCTAGAACAGACCTAATAGCAGAATCTACTCACCTCGACTCTCCGGCGGCAGCCATTGTTGTTGTCACCCTAGCGCGCTTTGGTCACGTGGTTGATTACGTTACTCTTGATCATCTGTCCATCATCGTATAAAGTCCGCCCTGACAATTTGATTGGATCGCCTGACAGTGGGCGATAATACTCGCGCTACTATGGAGCAGAGCCAGACCGAACTTCCCCGAACTCAAACCTTGTGGGCGGGGCTAAGTTCTGACTGGCACCCAGGCTAGGTTTATGAGGCATCTTGAAGCCAAACTGTATTGATGCAGCGTTGATCCTGTCTCACAGAATGCTGACACCTGCTGGACATTTAAAGACACTACAGGCAGCTGATTGGACAGACTAAACTGAATTGATTTGTTGACTTAAAACAATGATATCATTGAATTTATTGGAGGTTAATATAAAATATCTTTCATATTTTTAGATACAACCAATAAATAATGTAAACATTTATTATAACGTGAACATTTAGGGGAAAACGTGAATGAGGATGCTTGTGAACTAGGATTTTAAAACATAATTTTAAAACAATAAGTGATGTAAAAACGGAAAATAAACTAAGAGTCAATTTGAGTGATAACTGAGAAGAAAAGGATGACACATCGAGAAAATGAAAATAAAAACGGTTGAAATGTTCCTATTCCTTAGGCTCCAAAATTCTGGATCATTTTAATGATAAACTGCAAAAGATGAGACATTTTTATTCAATCAGATACATCATGTTGACAGATACGTTTGAGTTGAGTTTTAGTTCATTTTCCACCAGTTTAGTAAAAATCAGCAAATTTTTAGCATTTAACTTCCTAACTTCTGTTTTAAGTGCACACATCCTTCTCCATTTGTAATGTTTTGCATCCAAAAGAGACAAAAAAAGCAGAGAAACTTGACCTTTCAGTCCTGTTTGTCGTGGGGTTTTTTTGTCAGAGGATACATGGTGATGGCCGACTCCTTCAACACGTCCCTGTTCAAGCAAACCTTCCAGAGGGTTTTCACCAAAGACGTCCAGGGATCCTTCAAGATGGCGTTTTCTGCCACGGTGGAGGTGAAGGTAGGAACTGGGAGGTGGAGGAGCTCTTCCCGACCTCCTCTGTGCCGCGGCTTCATCCATGCTGCTCTTCTCTCTTCTAGACATCCAGAGAGATCAAAGTGTGTGGAGCCATCGGCCCCTGTGTGTCTCTGCATGCCAAGGGACCCTGCGTGTCTGAGAATGTAAGAGAACCTCGCTGCCCCCCACAGGCACAGACCTGAACTGCACAGCTGCCCTCAGTGGCCAAACTGAGCCAGTTTCAGGTTTATTCCAGGTTCTGTTGATCCGGGGATGGATTGTCTCTTGGCAGGACAAAGGTCTTATTTTATAGCATTTATCGCAGAGAACATAAAACTGTGTCTGGGATTTTGCTGAGTTAAAGATGCTTGGTGATGAGTTATCTTTGATAACTGAGTTTACATTAAAGATGGACCTGGAGATGCTTCCTGTCCAGCATAACCGGAATCAATCATCTCCTTTATGAGTCCAACAGGAAGTTTAGCGTTTATCCCTGCTCCAAACCGATAAACGAAATGTGACGAGTAACAGAAGGTCGTCTCTACCTGTACGCTCTTATGATGAGGACCTGCAGGGCAGCTGAATGTCTGCAGTGGTGACGGGATCTCTGGCACCAGGATGTCTGCAGATCACCAGGATTTCTGCAGATCACCAGGATGTCTGCAGATCACCAGGATGTCTGCAGATCACCAGGATTTCTGCAGATCACCAAGATCTCTGCAGATCACCAGGATGTCTGCAGATCACCAGGATGTCTGCAGATCACCAGGATGTCTGCAGATCACCAGGATGTCTGCAGATCACCAGGATGTCTATAGATCACCAGGATGTCTATAGATCACCAGGATGTCTGCAGATCACCAGGATGTCTGCAGATCACCAGGATGTCTGCAGATCACCAGGATGTCTATAGATCACCAGGATGTCTGCAGATCACCAGGATGTCTGCAGATCACCAGGATGTCTATAGATCACCAGGATGTCTGCAGATCACCAGGATGTCTGCAGATCACCAGGATGTCTGCAGATCACCAGGATGTCTGCAGATCACCAGGATGTCTGCAGATCACCAGGATGTCTGCAGATCACCAGGATGTCTATAGATCACCAGGATCTCTGAAAATCACCAGGATGTCTGCAGATCACCAGGATGTCTGCAGATCACCAGGATGTCTATAGATCACCAGGATGTCTGCAGATCACCAGGATGTCTGCAGATCACCAGGATGTCTATAGATCACCAGGATCTCTGAAAATCACCAGGATTTCTGCAGGTACCCAGGATGTCTGAAGATCAGATGTTTATCCTACATGCAGGATGCTGCCTTTCCTTTTCATGTTTCAGCTGAGGGATACAGAGCTGGTGATTCTACAGCTGGTGATGAAACATTGAAGCTGAACATTTAGAAACGGAAGGTTCCTCTGCTTTAGTCCGTATTTGAATGAGATTCTGAACCGTGGTTTAGTCGCGCAGCCTTTACTGGTCCATCTCTCCAGCAGCCATGCTAGTCTGCTAACGCTGATAGCACCCTGTTGTTTTTTTAGGAGATCGGGACGGGAGGAACGTGTCAGTGGAAGATCTGCGGTCTGGATGCCAGCACCACCATGGCTCTTTACTTTGAGGTTGTGAACCAGGTAAGGAGGTCCTCTAACGAACCATGGGACTTAAAGGAAGATGGGAACCAGATGGTTCTATCCCAGTCCACCGAGCATCAAGACAAACTCCTATAGAAGCTCCAGAGCTTCCCTATTGGCCTGAACAGCTTCAGATGTTCTACTGATGAAGGACAAACCTGAGTTTAGATTGACTTTGGGTGTAACCTGTTAGAGACGTTGATAAAAGTTTATTTCCCTTTTAGGAAGTTTAGTTTTTATTTCCCTTCATTGGTTTGAGCATCTTTCCATCACAGACCAAAGAAGGAGACCAGAGACAAAGTTCATGGTTGTCATTTACCAAACATGCTGCTCAATACATCAAAGCCCCTCCAGCACAGCAGGGAGGCTGTTGGAGCTGAAGCAACAATGGCAGAGTAGACGATCCGCAAGCATCTATTTATTTTGCATGAACAGGCCAGTTGAGGTGGACCTTCGCTGTAGGGCAGAGTTAATGTATTGGAGGTCCGCGGACCGGATCCGGATCCAACCTGATTTAAAACATGTATAAATTACTGCATGTCATTCTCCTGTTAATACGGTAAAGCCCACCACAGCATCTGGCTCCAGGCTGCACTTGATCCAAATTAGCCAATCAGTCTGGGTTGCTGCTGCTGCTACTTTTAGACACAGCAGGCAAACCAGTGGCAAGCCAGGCGATGGGAAAGAAGGAGAAGATGAGAAAGAGAGAGCAGAGAAAGTGTGGACTGCAGGAAGAACTGCGGTGAACTGGTGAAAGAAAAGTGAAATGGTGCTCAAAGATGACCCTGCACATTTAGAGGATGTTTGGCTCAACCTGCTGCTGTGAAGCAGGATTCTCCACCAGGAACAGAATCAAAAATAAATATGGATCCAGGCTCAAAATGAGCACCTTGATATGTGCTTGAGAATGGCTTAGTCTCCATTCAAACCAGGTTTAAAGCCTTGCAGGGCAGCATAAAGCCCACTGCCAACATTAAGACAGAAAAAAAGAAAAATAACAAACGCTCAGTTCAGCTGTTTTATAAAATTTGTGAATCAGGAAATTGTCTATAAACCAAACAGACGATTGTTGTTCACTACTTAAAAAACAATTTAGATTTAAAAATGGAAAAACATTGTATTTTTTTTTTTTTTTTATATTTATATTTTTTTTTTAATTTAAAAAGTCAATATATAACATGGATGCATAAATACCTCATTTTATTTCAGTGTTAAATTCTATTTAAAGTAACAGATTATAATTAAAATGTCTCCGGACCTTTACTGGTTGATGATTTTCTTTATTTGGACCCTGCTGGTTTTTATTTGGTTACCACTGGTCTAGAGGATGGTGGCATCTGATGTTGTGGAAACTTGACTGTAGTTATTCAACATATTTGATAAAGTATCAGACTTGTTTCATGATGATTTGCTGATAGTTTAACCTCACACATATCTTTAAGTTTTTCATCTTGATCAAACTGCATAGAAATATGAGTAATTGGATGTTTCCTGGATTATATGTATTTTCCCCTGATTTAGGCAGCTAAGAAAATTTTTAGCCAATGGAATCAGATCATTTATACTTTATACTTAAAAAAGTCAGATGAGATGCTCCAGTGCTCTGCTCTATAAGAAATAAAATAACTCCACTATGTTATTGCTAGAGCAGAATTCATAAAGATCTTATTCATGGGCAGAAATCCCCGTTCCATTAGAAGATCATCTTATTTACCTTCTTTGGTCAAAAATCTACTGATTCTAGTTCCGATAAGCAGCAGCGGGTGCTAAATGTTCTGATCCTCTGAATGGACCTAGTTACTGATCACCCCCCACCCAAACCCCACCCCCAATCATCCGTCCGTCCATCCTGTGATTCTTCAGTCCGTCTGACCTTTCACCCAGATGATGTCCTCTAGCTAACAGGACAGCCTGATTAGCTGTGCTGATTTCACTGTTCTGATCCAGCTGGGGGGGAGGGGCTTACTGCGGTCCAGGCGTAGGTGACGGAGCCGTTTCTGTAGCAGATGTTGATGCAGAACGGTGGAGCCGAGGAACCATCCCAGAGCAGCTCTGGTAGAACCTGCTCAGCCTCTGATGCACTGCTGAGCGGTACCTGCTGGACTCAGAGAGAGGTGGATCATTAGAAGCACTGGGATGGCCACCGCCTTCCCTCCGTTCTACAGTTTCTAAATGATCTAATATGATATCCATAATAAGCCTGATTCCTTTCAGCCTGAAAATGACAAGAAATGGGATGTAGTTCATATTGAACACCAGTGTAGGGTTAGGGTTGGGTAACTCAGGTCTCTGCAGGTCTTATCTTATGGTTTGCTGTGTTTGAAGCCTCCTGGAAGCTCCCAGATTTCTGTGGGTTAGCCTGCTGTCAGAGCTGTGAAGTCCAGCTTACCTCTGAGTCATGCAGATGATCCAGGGGTTGATGGCGGCGCTGGTCAGAGCCAGCCAGGTGGACAGAGCCGCAGCAGCTTCTGGGCTCTGCTGTCCGCTGAACGTCTCATACAGACAGACTGAGATGAAGGGAAGCCAGCAGACCAGCAGACACGCTGCACACAGACAGGACAGAGTTAGGGAGGGGGGCCTGACATGCTTCTCTGGTTTAACCTTCATCATTAAGCTAAATCATTCGGCGTTTCTCTGAAGATAACGAGCAGCTGAAGATCTGATCATTGTTTAGAAGAACTGCTTTGATCCTGACCTAAATGAAGCTTCTGATCCTTTAGCTTCCTGGAAACAGGAAAAGTTCATGGAATGGGGTTGGAGGAGAATCCATCCATCCATCCATCAACCATCCATCCATCCATCCATCCATCCATCCATCCATCCATCCATGCATCCATCATCCATCCATGCATCCATCATCCATCCATGCATCCATCATCCATCCATCCATTCATCATCCATCCATGCATCCATCATCCATCCATCCATTCATCATCCATCCATGCATCCATCATCCATCCATCCATTCATCATCCATCCATGCATCCATCATCAATCCATCCATCCATTCATCATCCATCCATCATCCATCCATCCATGCATCCATCATCCATCCATCCATTCATCATCCATCCATGCATCCATCATCAATCCATCCATCCATCCTTCCATCCACCATCCACCCATCCATCCATCTATCATCCACCCATGCATCCATCCTTCATCCATCCATCCTTCCATCCACCATCCATCCATCCATCCTTCATCCATCCACCCATCCATCCATCTATCATCCACCCATGCATCCATCCTTCATCCATCCATCCATCCATCCATCCATTCATCCATCCATCCATCCATCTCTCATCCACTCATCTTCTATGATTCATACATCTATCCAATATTCATCCATCCATCCATCATTCCAGTCTTTTTGTCTCCATAGTAACGTAGTAACCCTGTTTGTATTCATTCTTTAAATGGAATGGAACCTAAACGTAGAAAAGTATTTATAGAATGTTCTGAGCTGTGGTTCAGATCTATGTCCTCAGTAGAAGCTGCATCAGATGCTAAACATCTAAAAGCTGAAGCAGACTTAGAAGATTAGCCAGGGGAGAAGATGGTGGCCAATCAGAGGCCATGGAGTGACCCTACCTGAGGTGGCGGCCATCACTGCGGAGCTCCTCAGGTAGGTGTTTGCTGGGACGTGGAAGCAGTGCAGCTCATTGCACACAAAGGTGCCTTTCCTGGCCTGTTTCCTGGCGATGTGGACCATGTAGGCGTAGAGAGAGCAGATGGTGAGGACGGGCCCCGCTACGCTGACCACCACCCACAGAACCACAAACCTCCGGTTTTCAGGAGTGAACTCTACACAGCAGAGGAACCGAGACTTGCTGTAAGCATAGCTGCCGAAGCCCAGCATGGGCAGAGTGGCGTTCAGCAGGCAGAAGAACCAGACGAGGACCAGCAGGACCCAGCTCCTCCTGCTGGTCCACATGCTGCGGTAACTCAGGGCAAAGCAGAGGGCAGAGAACCTGTCCACCGTGGCCCAGGTGAGGGACTGGAGAGAGCAGGCCTGCAGGAGGAGGAGGATGAAGCCGCTGCCCTGACAGAACACCCCCTGGCTGGGGTACACAGCAGGCCAGGACAGGCTGTTGTAGGCTCCGAAGGGAATAACGGAGAGCCCGGTCGCCAGGTCGCTGAGGCTGAAGCTCAGGGTGAGGCACAGAGTATCTGACTGAAGCTCTTTGTTGAGCAGCAGCACCGTCAGGATGAAGAGGTTTCCACAGACGGCTGCTGAAGCTGACAGGACCATGAGCGCCGCGTACAGCGTCCTCAGAGCAGCCTCCATCTTCAGATGGTGGCGCCGAAGCTTCTGCTGCTCTGTGAGCTCAGCAGGTCCAGCCCGCCTCCTTGTTGCTCCCTCCTCAGATTAGCAGGGCGTAGATAAGGTCTGATGAGTCACTGCATGAAGCTGGAGCAGGCTTCAAACCAGGCGGCTCCTATCGTCCTTCCCCTGCTTTCAGAATCATCTGGGTGTTCTCCTTCGGCACGGTTCTGATCTTCAGAAGAAGTCAGCAGCTGATCCCAGGTTTTCTTCCTCGCTGTTCAGGTTTAGTGGTGCAGGACTGAAGGTCCAGAGACGTTCCTGACCTCCACCACTGCTCTCCTGAACATAGACTCTATGAGCTGTCTCCGTCTGCAATTATGTCTCCATGGAGACGGTCACCATGGTCTGCATGTCCATCGCCTGCTGGGATGATGATGATGACATGCATAGAAACAAACAGCAAGTTATCTGGTAGCAGGAAAGTCAACAGTGGCTGGAGGTTTAATATCCTGTGTGTGTTTGAGGGGGAGGATGGAGGGTTAAACCACCTCTCTGAGGAAAGCAGATCAGTCTCACCAAATGGGTTCAGGGTCCACAGTAGGTCGGTCTTTCTCTTTGATCAGGTAATGTCCTCACAAACATAGCAGATGCTGCTGTGTGTGTGCGATCAGCTGAGTCTGGTAATAACAGGTGTGTGATCATCATCATCATCACGTTGCTGGACCTCAGACCTCTGACTGCCCACGGCGGGTTCTGTTTGTCTGCCATGACTTCATGGCTGCGTCATCAGATCCAGCGATCGGAGCAGCTGACCATGAGGAGCAGACACCTCTGACCTGCTGGTTCCTGAGGACACGTCTTTATTTCAGCCACTTTCATTCTTTGGCTCACATTCATTAAAGCTCTGGTAGCTTTGTTTATTCTTACAGGTTCACATAAAACCCGACTAGAACTCTGAAGCCCGTTCTGTTAGCCAGCACAGGGTCAAAGGTGAACACAGGAGGTCACAGATTAATACACCTTAACTGATAACGGACACAGTGCAGAAATTGTTCTTGAATAAGTTATTTACTCTGGTTTGGGTCGGTCAGTCAGATATTGGCTAAAGGAATAAAATTGTTAAGTTTAAAATTCAAAAGAAAAAAAAAATCCACTGGACTTTGTTTCCAAGTTTGAAGACGTTTCTCTTCAATCCAGGAAGCTTTTTCAATTCTAAATGTCAGAAATAGCGTTGGGTTCCAGGTTTTATACAGTAGCCCAACAAAGCCTTGTTTTTGTTTAGAAAACATGCAAATAGAAACAGATGAACGGGTCCACCCCTCTGGAATGGAGGTCGTTTAGATTCTTGGTTTGCCTGCAATCCCCCATACCTGTCTATGTCTCTGAAAGGGGGGTCGTTAGAGGGAATTGTGGGCCTGTCTGAATAGGTGAGGTCGTCTGTTCTCCTGTAAAGGGGTGGGGGCTGCGATTAACTCAATCACTACACCCCAGAGGGGGTGGACTCAGATTTCTGAAGTGTATTAAACAGTTTCTCAGATGAGAAACTGTTTAATACACTTCAGTTACTTTGGGTCTGAATAATAAATTCCGTAAAAACATATACAGTGAAGAAGAAAATGGGGAATAAGTGTGAGGAAGAGCAGCGGGATAAAGCTCAACGATCAGCAGCCGTTAGTCATTTGGAGCAGTTAGTGTGACATTCATTTGTTTGTCATGTCAACCCCTAAAAATGATTCTGATAGCTTCCTAACTGAAGGGTGGGTTCTGTAGTGAAGGGTGTAAAATGATCTTGATTTTCCTCATGCAGTCATATTCTTCCTGCTGCAGGTTGTTGATCTTCCGGTTTCTCTGTTTTCCCGCAGCATAACGCTCCAATCCCTCAAGGCGGCCGCGGAGCGATCCAGTTTGTCACTCAGTACCAGCACTCCTCCGGACAAAGACGCATCCGAGTCACCACCACCGCACGCAAGTAAGGCGGCCGGCTGCTCTCCCCATTACATGAACCAGAAAGCAGCGTCCTGTTTGCTCATTGGGAAAGCAGGGCACAAACTAGAGCCTGGAACTCATTAAGACTTCCACACAAAGGTTGTGATCTATAAAATAGACTTCTAACTCAGACTCTGAGTAATTCATAGAGGGAGTTAAAAGTTAGAGAGTTAAAACTTAGGCAGATTGCATCATCATTTCTCCCACATTTAATTTCACTTCTTAGTATTGAGGGTGTAGAAAAAAAATCAGTTTGGCAATATATCGTGATTTTTGGCATTCCAACATAATATTGCTCCTTAAGTTTCTAATATCGATTTGACTTAAAAAAAATAACATTTTTCCCTAAAACAATGGGGGAATATGCACTGCTTCCACACCCCCACTCCGGTAGATGGGGCCTTGGAGCCCTTTTGCTGTGTATGTAGTCGAGGCAATCACAGTAGCAGATGCTGAGTGACATAAACCCCAAACAACATGGATACCAAAAAAACAAAATAACTGAATAATGAAAATCTTCTACTAAATATACAGCACTTGTTTTTTTTTGTTTTTTCTTGTTTTTGCCCTGATAACCATCAACAACTTTGAGCAGCTAGCTCATTTTAACACCCACTGACCTTCATGCTTCGATGGGGCATGGGACCTGTACAATGCCCTGGCCACCCCACTCGCCAGTGTGAATTGTAGCAGCATCAGTTTAGCATTTCATCCCATTCTGCACAGCCAGCGACGTAATATTAAAAATCCCACAATAAACTAAGATCTGAGCAGGTGTTTACTGAAGTCTTTATGATTTCTACAGGCAGATTTACCACAATAGTAGATTAAAACCCTGAAATGATGGCTTTTAGCTTCAGTGACCACCCCAAGACTTTTAGTGGCCCCATCTGGCCCCTCCTAGGAGACATTTCTGGAGGCGCCACTGGCTCCAACCCTCTGTGGATGGCGATGTTGCAGGTGTTTCTCCACATTTACAGCTGGCGATGTGTGTTTCAGCTGGGCCGATGCTCAGACTCAGATCCAGAGCATAGCAGCATCGTTCGATCAGGAGGCGGCGGCCATCTTGATGGCCAGGCTGGCGGTTTACCGAGCAGAAACGGAGGAGGGACCCGACGTACTCCGCTGGTTGGACAGACAGCTGATTAGACTGGTAGGAGACACCGTCTGCTGGGTCCAAACACCATGAGGTGGGTTCTAACAGAACCTGGAGCCTGAGTCCAGTTTGCTCTCATGTTTTGTTTGCAGTGTCAGAAGTTTGGAGATTACCATAAGGATGACCCGAACTCCTTCAGGTTCTCAGAGACCTTCTCCCTCTACCCTCAGGTGATGTTCTGCTAATGACCTTGTGTCCAGATGTCTGGGCCTTCTTCTCCAACATGTTCTGTCCTTTTCTCTGCAGTTCATGTTCCACCTGCGGCGCTCCCCGTTTCTTCAAGTCTTTAACAACAGTCCTGATGAAAGCTCCTACTACCGACACCACTTCCACAGGCAGGACCTGACCCAGGCCCTCATCATGATCCAGCCTGTGCTCTACGCCTACTCCTTCAACGGACCTCCTGAGGTCTGCAAACACCCTCTGCGCTTTTAACCATCACAGAAGAACAGGCTGCTTCCTTTTTGTCCCTTAGAGGCCTCTGTAGTCAGAAGCTTCCAGATGACGGTCAAACGTCAGTAAACAAACAGGTCCTTCACTGCCCTCTAGCTGTAGACTGACGCCATGATGGTGAAGCTGAAGATAAACCACCTGCTGTTCCAGATGTTTCTCTACCAGAGTTAAACTTTTACAGACTGAAATATTTGCTCTATAAATCAGCTCAAACTGACTAGACAGATTGGGGAACGTTCCATGTTGGCTTCAGGCTTAGATGGGAAGCCCGGTTCTTTATGGTTTTCCCAGTTTTTTATGGGAAGCCCCGTTCTTAACAGGGAACCCTGGTTCTTTGCAGGTAGCCCGGTTCATTGCTGTTTGCCCGGTTCTTTGCGTTGAGCCCTGTTTGTTACCATTAGTCCAGTTCATGGTTGTTAGACTGGTTTTTTGTTGTTAGCCCGGTTCCTTGCGGTGAGCCCGGTTCTTTGCGGTGAGCCCTTTTCTTTGCGGTGAGCCTGGTTCTTTTTGGTGAGCCCGGTTCGTTGCTGTTAGCCGAGTTCTTTGCTGTTAGCCCAGTTCGTTGTGGTGAGCCCGGTTCTTTGCGGAGTGTGTTTGACATCATCCGTGCGCGCCGGCTGCCATTCATTCATCCTGTCCGCTGAACTGCTGCTAGTCTTACTTACATGCCTGGAAGATGTCTAGTGCTACTCCCTCAGATGATGGTAGATTATCACGTCTCCTTCTGCAAACTTGCTGCATGCACTTAACTAGCGTATCTGCCTGTGGCCCGGGCTGCCTATCACAACTCCAGTCCGGCGCACGGATGACGTCATAAACACTCTGCTTTGTTTTAAAAAAATATAAGTATGAAAAATATAACGGCGGATGTCTGGGGGACAGTGATTCACCTACATGTTATGAATGCTGGCGTACCATAAAGAATAAATTATGAACAGTTTAGTTTGTGCCTTCAAGTCGTCGCCTATAGGAAGAAATTGCTTGGATTACAAAACCAAATATCTTCAGAACGGCTCCAAATGACACAAAACCAATATGGGTTATTAGAACATGATGTAATAACGTAAAATCAAGGGCCCAATGTAAAAAAATTTCCCTTTAAAGGAATAGTACACCCAAAACATGATTAGCCTTCATTTTCTACTCACCCCCATGCTGAACAACACTCTGGAGTACTTTTTTGATATCTCAAATGCATCTGGAGATCTGGGAGGCTTCTTGCTGTCTGCTGACATTCAAATAATGGAGGTCTATGGCGCCCGAGACAGAAAGGTCCATAAAAGTCCATAAAAACGTGTCAATATTCCTCCATACTGCTCGTCCAATGTATTCCAAGTGTCCTGAGTGGGTAGCGTCCATAATTTACTCGAAACGAAGTCATTTAGAATGTTTTTAGAGCATAAACAGTAGTGTATAGGATTTCCTAATAGCGCCCCCATGCGCGCTCACGGCGCTACGGAAGCCGGCAGACCAAACCAGCGCATTCAGCTCGGCAAAGAACTCATGCTCTTCCTCAACACTGAAGTCCTCAGACATTTTTCTTTCGTTGTTTCTTTCTTTGCACAGGTAAACAGCACATTTCTTCTTCTACGCTTGCATTATCGGCAGAGCAGACGCTGAATGCGCACTTCCTTCCGGTTTGGTCTGCCGGCTTCCGTAGAATCGTGAGCGCGCATGGGGGCGCTATTAGGAAATCCTATACACTACTGTTTAGGCTCTAAAACGTTCTAAATGACTTCGTTTCGAGTAAATTCTGGATGCTACCCACTCAGGACACTTGGATTACATTGGACGAGCAGTATGGAGGAATATTGACACGTTTTTGTGGACTTTTGTGGACCTTTCTGTCTCGGGCACAATAGACCTCCATTATTTGAATGTCAGCAGACAGCAAGAAGCCTCCCAGATCTCCAGATGCATTTGAGATATCAAAAAAGTACTCCAGAGTTTTGTTCAGCATGGGGGTGAGTAGAAAATGAAGGCTAATCATGTTTTGGGTGTACTATTCCTTTAAGGCTTTGATCTGTTGTCTGATCAGATTGTCTGTTTCTGTGTTTTCCAGCCGGTTCTGTTGGACAGTAGCAGCATCCTGCCGGACCGGATCCTGCTGATGGACACCTTCTTCCAGATCGTCATCTACCATGGAGAGGTACCAACTCATTCATGATGGGGTTCATCAGTCTGAATGTTCTCTGGATTAGACCTTCATCCATTTTCTGCTACCCCATCCATTTATCCTGATCAGATCATCCTGCTCCAAAGAAGCAGTTTCTCTGTTTCTGTAAGATGGCAGAAGAAGCCAGAGATTCTGAGTAGAAGTTTCAGGATCTGCTAAGCTCAGCTTCATGCTGAGATAGAGCAAACATGTTGGGTCTGGAGCCAGTCCAGTCTGAGCTGCCTTCTGTTTCAGACCGTGTCCCAGTGGAGGAAGGCCAGGTACCAGGACATGCCCGAGTACGAGAACTTCAAACACCTCCTCCAGGCACCAGTGGACGATGCTCAGGAGCTGCTGCACACCCGCTTCCCCATGCCCAGATACATCGACACAGAGCATGGCGGCAGCCAGGTGAGGGCACTGTCACCTGGAGACGCATCAGGGGTAGACAATAACAGGGAGGTCCTCTCCATCAGGACCAACGTCATGGTCTGGAACGGACCTCGGCCTGTTTTCTCATCTGAATAGAGCTTTCTATCTGTTTCCAGGCTCGCTTCCTGCTCTCCAAAGTCAACCCTTCTCAGACCCACAACAACATGTACGCCTGGGGACAGGTAAGACTCCCAGTGACCTTTGACCTCGGCCTCAGCTGATCCAATGACACGGCCGCTTTCTCTGCAGGAGTCCGGGGCTCCAATCCTCACTGACGACGTCAGCCTGCAGGTCTTCATGGATCACCTGAAGAAGCTGGCTGTCTCCAGCGCCGCCTGATCGGGTTGTCGGTTCTGTTTGTGCTGTAGCTGCCTGAAGCAAACGACAAGCCTTGGTTCCGTTAGCGCCGCTCTCAGCAGCAGGTCCAGGACTCCGTTATACATCATCCCCTCTGGGTCTCCTCTCACCATCACCAACCTCCAGCTGGGGCATCAGAACCTCCAGCTGGGGCATCATTTGTGTTTACACTCTTGGTTTCTATTTATGAGTTCAGTTTTTTCTCCCTGACTGGTTTCTTTAGAGCGCCGGTTTTCATTTCAGAAACTCAACATGTTGTCATGGCGACCCCTAATGTTTGCAGTAAAGTTGTGTGTGGAAAGCCCACTGCTTCCTGTGTTTTCCTTCACCTTTAGCTCAAACCCAGAGACGAAGTGATACCAGTTGAAAGCGTTGCAGTAAAAATGAAAGAAAAGCTGACATTTTGGAATAAAAAAAGCTGGAAATAAATGAAAAGGCCTTAAGTTTAATCTCTGATTGGAAAAGAAAATATAAATCCAATAATTTTTTCATTATTATGAAATATGTTACATTTTTCCTTTCAGTTTTTATTTAGTTGTGTACCATACCAAATGTATATATATATTTATTTTATTTATAATCTTTCAACACCAACCAACTGGACCACAATCAATCAGAAGATACAATCAATGATAAAAACAATAAAGTAGTGTAGAAAAGTAGTAATAAAAACCCATAATAAAAGAAACAATACGACAAAGTCAACATCTGAAGTTGTGTTACAAGCCAAGAAATAAAAAATTGGGTCTAAGGAAGAGAGACCTGTCTAAGTGCCAAGGGAAGATCTCTGGTCAGCTGATCTAAGGTAGTGAGACGATGAAGGGATGAAGCAGCTCAGACAGGAAGGGGCGGGACATGGGCATTAAAATGAATCCTAAAATTTAGGTAGATCTTTATTTCATAATGACGGATTTTAATTTCATAAAGATGGGGGCAAAGCTTCGCCTCCAGCCCCCTGCTGGAGTCGATGGTTCAACCCAGAACCCTTGTTTAAGGATGTTCCTGGTTCCTGGGCTTCCAGTTCAGGTCATTTCTTCCTCCAGGCTGCTTAGAAAGGAGCATTTTTTGTCTGTTAATGAAGAACTGGACTCTGATTCTATGGAGCCAAACAATGACGGCAAGCATTAAGCTGAAATGGATGTTTGGCTTCAGAAACTGAAATAAAACAGGATGGAAACACAAACATGGCTGCTCCATCTTCTGCTCTTACATTTATTTCTTCTAAACTCTTCAAAGTTTTTGGTTTTAGTAAAACATGATCAAAGACTCCAGGAAATATTCGGCAGATTTCTAACTGCCCCCTCAAACATGGCGGACAGCTCCTGATGCTGACACTGTCCACCAGCTTCATTCCCGCTAACCATGAGAAAGCCCCCCCCCCCTCTAACCCATGACCGTCCTTCCTGCTATTGTTTGTGCTGCACCTCGTGGAAATGCCTAAGTTACCACTTGCACTATCAGCTTCCTGGTGCCTTTCCACTGTTTGTTCCAATGTGAGCTTGTTGAAAGAGAATGAAAGAATGCTGGTCAGACCCAGAGATCCTTCCCACTGTTCACATTCAATACTTCCCAGTATCCATTAGTGAGCATGAAGCCCGCTCTGCTACTGGAAGCTAGCAGCACCAGCTCATCAGGATGGGTTTTTTTTTACTGGTTCTGATTCAAACAGTAAAGAAACTGGTTCTCTAAGTGGAACTTTTGGATCATTCATTATTAGACAGAAAGTTTAGAGAGTTAAGACGACCCACACGTCTACTGAGGTCCAGTTCCCAGTCCTCTGCTGGTAATTGTTCTAATTAAACAAAGGCTGAATGGCAGACTGAGGTTTCAGTCTGAAAGTCTCAGAGCAGCTGAGCAGGAAGACATCTGAGCCTATCTAGACCCGACACGCTTCCTGTCCAGGAGGAGGTGCTGGCTGTGAAGACCGATGCCAGAAATCTGCCAGCAGAGCTACTGGGAAGGAGAGAACGAGGAGAAGGTCCACAGGAATAGGTGGAAAGACCAGAAGATGTTTTAAAGACTGGAGGACACATCAACTACTGCTGAAAGGAGAGAAATTAGTGAATCAGAAGCTGAGCGATTCACGGTAAGAAACAAGAACCTAAGGTGTTTACCTTAAGAAAATGGAAATTTAAAGAGGGCTGCACAAAACAAATTTTCATTTCGTATATACTGTGTATAGAAAATGACAATAAAAGTTATCTAAGTCATTACTGAATTCATGATGATTTTTTTTCTATAGCTGCTTCAAAGGATGTTTGTTTCCCATTAATACAGGAACCAACATGAAAACTAAAACTAATGATTTAAGGTCACTTTTTTTATACTCTAACATTTTTCATTACAATCAAACAAACAACACCCATAGAACTTGGGGCACTGATTTGCATTGAAATAGGAAGAAAAAAAAAAACATTACAAGATGTTACGCCTAGTTATGCTTCCTTGCTCTTGTATGTCAGCCATTTAGTCCAGCGTTTGTTGTTGGAATGTCCTTTTATACGAATAAGATATGTCAGTTTTTCCAAAGAGTGAATCTCCTCCACGGCTTCCTGCCAACAGTCTAGCTGGGGAGGGAGTTTATTTTGCCAAGACAGTGTTATAGCTTGAATTGCTTGCAATTGATTGGATTGTAAAAAGATAGTCATCTTCTTTTTGAAACACGTCTCCAGATATCAGCCCCAGCAGAAAGTCCTGGGGTCTTTAGGGATGATATATCACTAAATTTTCCTGGTGGTCTGACAGACTTATCCCAGTAAGGTGCAAACTTTGGGCAGGACCAAAAACATGAGAGTGATTGATGTTCTGATTGACACACCGTCTCCAACATTGCTGTTCTTCTTCTCTATGTCTGCTAGTAATTAGGGGTGTAATAAAGTATCTAATTAAGCACTTCCATCTGAATTCCTTCCATCTTTTAGAACTGGTTGATGTCTGTAGCGTCATGCGCACTGAAAGCCAATCACTCTGTAAGTCTTACTCCCAATTCCCTTTCCCACTTAGACTTAATATTCAAGGTGTTATTTCCATTATGTTTCTGCAGTCCTTTATATAGTTTGGAAACATTTTGCGTGGGAGGCGAGTATAAGCATTTGCAAATATTTTTACAATAGTAGTACCTTCTGGAGGAACAGCTTTTTTTATTTTGTTATTGTAAAAAATGTCTTACCTGAAAATATTTAAATAGAAGTCACTTTTAAAAGAACTCGTTTTCCAGCCCAAAGATCTTGTGCTCAGTTAGAGATAAAGTCCAGTCTGGAGGTAGATGTCCTGCTGAGAAGAGAAGAGGACCGTGGTGGTTTTCCATATCAGTCCTGATATCAGATCAGCTGGACTAGAGATGAAAGAAAGCTTCCGCCAATAAACTGTTGGCATCATTCAAATGCAAACCTGTAAAGATTTTCATGCTTCTGCCACGAGCAAAAACCAGAGGGACAAGCAGGTTTCAGAGCCAGTCTATGGGAAGTTTTCTATCTGTGCCACATGCTGAGCTCCGAACTCGGTGTGCTTCCTCCAGAGCGGTCTGCTCGATTGGTTTGACTGGATACAAACTCATCACACTGATTTCTTTACAGGTTGTAGTCAGATCAATCAGATTATTCAGCCATTTTAGGCTTTCATACAAGGACAAAATATTCTGAGAGCAGAAACCATGTATCAGTGAGCACAGAAAAGTATTCGCACCCCTTTATGACAGCAAAATTATACATGATCTTTGAAGTTGAATTTTGAACTTTTACTCTGTTCTGCTGTAATAAAATCCAACATGGATCAGCGACAGTGGAGAGAAAGAAACCTCCAGCAGAACCAGAACCAGGCTAGGTGGGACCACCCTGTGACCAACTAGAGCAGAAGGAGCAGACTCGCTGGAAGCACTGATCTATAAACTGATCTATAAACACTTTCTATGTTATTGAAAAGCAGAAGGTTAGCTGCAGCAATGGCTCCTGTAGAGGAACAGTAAACAGACGAGCTCTGAACCAGAATCCAGGTCTAGAAGCTGAAGGAGAGCCGATCCAGTTGGTCCCAGTAAAGCTCGGCCAGTAGCTCTGTCTGGGAGAGGAGAGCGACAGAGGCAGGCAGCTACCATAGAGAAGACACGGGTTCAGATTAAGTCATGCCAACCACAGTTAGAGAGGTCAGAGGTCAAAGAGAGAGATGTTTTAGCTGAACAAAGGGGACTGAGCTCTTCCCTCTGTGGGTAAAGGGGAGCAATAAGTCGTCTGCTATTTTCCAAGGGTCCACTGATCATGTGACTCTTTAAGTGTTTGTTCCTCATCCTGACGGCCATCCCTCCAGCTTCCTCTGACTAAACCATTTTTGCTAGAACTGTCACTGTAAAAAAAAACAAAAAAAAAACAAAAAAACAAAAAGAATGTTTATTTTAGATATCTGGAAGTAAAAGCCAAATACACATGAATGGTAATCATGACGTCATTTGTACTAGTAAGAATTACATTTCAGATAGCTGAAATTTTTATTTTAGATAGGAAGAAATGCACTGCAGACATCTGGATTACATATTCAGTCAAGCTACTAAATGTCAACATGGCCGGCCATAGTAAAAAAAAAAAAAGAACTGTCACTGTAAGCGCACAGCAGAATGTAGATAATCAGAAAAGAGCCAGGCTCCTCCTCCTCCATATAAACAGGGCCGCTGATGTCATATCTAGAATTAGATCAAAAGGCAAAGGCCTGTCCTATGTGTGGAGCAACGCCCACCTAAACTATCTAAAGAAGCAGCCATAGAGGTCCATGGTAACTCTGGAGGAGCTGCAACGATCCCCAGCTTAGGGAGGATGTGAAGGAAGAACCAGAAAATGTTTCCCTGGGATGAACGAGGCCGGTAGAGACCCGGACTGACGAATAATGCCGAACGAGGACCAAATCTTTGGAAAATATAAACTAAAGTATAAACATTTACTTGTTGGTCCCTATGATAAACCTGAATAAACTCTGCTGCCTTCAGTTGATAGGAAGGGGTTCGCAGCAGCCCATAATTAAACCAGTAGGGATGCTAATTTATTTGATGTTAACAGAAAAAGAAAAACATCCATCTGTGGAATTAATTTCAGGTCGGTTTATTTCTATAGCGCCAGTTCACAAAACATCGTCCCTTCATGGACAGAAAACTGTCAGATTGGTTCAACGTTTCTATGAAGTAAAACCAGATGATGGCATCGACTGCATCTAAGCCATGTGGGGAACTTATGGACGGAGTTTCAGCTGTTAGGACATGAAGACTTAGTCTGGAAGAGACAGCAAGATGGAAGGATTGTCATGAAACGAGGACAGATGGACCCAGTATTCAAGGAGAGACAGTCAGTAGGAAAGTTCAAAAAGGTTTATTAAATTAACAAAAACTAAAGTGGAGCTGTGGCCCGCGGACACTGCAGGATGGGGAGAGGGGCAACGCCCAATCACAGAACTCTGGTTTAACAGTCCAGTCCTAGAATGTCCCCAAAAGCTGCAGTCCCAGAGGACATGCTGGAAGCCGATCCTGGTCAGGGATCCAGAACAGACAGGAACAGACAGGGACAGGATCTAGATCAGGCAGGAACAGAAACAGGTGGCAGGATCCAGACTTCAATGCATCCACAACTACCCAGGATGGTTCAGAGTCTGACAGGGTCTGAAAGCGTGAGCAGGTGGTCACGCACAGGAGCAGACAGGATCAGGTGCAGATGAGCAGGCTCAGTGGAAGAGGGTAGCCGAGCCAGGACGTGGAACCAGAACTTGATGCAGGACTTTAAACTGGTCTCCACCTTGGAGCCAGGCTTACTTGGATAAAAACGGAACCTCCCCGCATAAAGAGCCAAAAACCCAGAGGACTCAGCAAGGGAGGAACGGGGACGATTAGGAGACGAGACAGACACAAAACCCTCTTTCCACTGGATGCCAGGATCCAGGACACGAACCAAGAAAATAAACTGAACAGACAGGCTAACAGAAAAACAGTTAATGATCTGGCACTGAATGCTCAGGCTGAACTGAATATAAACCAGAGGAAACAGGTGAGAGGAATAAATTATAATTGAGGCAGGGAGGGAAAGCGACAGGTGAAAGGAATTAAAGTGACCGACTGGTGGATGGATGGATGGATGGATGGATGGATGGATGGATGGATGGATGGATGGATGGATGGATGATGGATGATGGATGGATGGATGGATGGATGGATCAAATATGTGCAACCATACTGTAAGGACGTGATGTGACCCCAGGACATTAGTTCCATCATCAAAAATAATTTAGGTTCAATCTGTCAAATTCTACCTGAGTCCAAAATCACAAGCAGAACCGAAATCTTTGAAGACCAAGTTTAATTCAGATTTGTCAGATGATATAGAGTTAAATTAAGTAATTTATTCAATGACAGTGTCTCATGAAAATCATTTTGATTAAGTCCATGAGAACAAAATGGAGGGACAAATGGACTTGGTTCGTCCTGCGTTCCATCATCACAGGTCTAACCAGTAATATTGCCGATGTGTTTACTCGGGCAGTGACATCATCACCAGAGGGGGAGGAGCCTGTGGTAATGGAGTTCTGCAGCTGGTGGGGTTCCCTTTGGATGGCCGTCTTCCTGCTGAACGATGCCTCCTGCGACTTGTCTTCACACCGTAGATACATCCTCAGCCAAAAGGAAGTGACCTTTGACCGGGCCGTGACGGACTGCTCCCCTGGTTTTCTGCCCCAAATGGCCACCAAACATGAGGTCCAGGAAATCCTTCAGTTCCTCGACCAGTCAATGGTTAACATGACGGTGTGGATTGGGCTGAGGAAGCCCAAATCTGAATGCACTGTCGATTCAAAGCCCCTAAAAGGGTTTAAATGGGTAGAAACCGGCAGCCAGGAGTGGAGCTTCACCTACTGGCTGAAGGAGCCAAAGCTCACCTGTACAGAGGACCTCTGTGGAGCCCTGAGGAGACAGGTAGTCCAGTCACAGGTAACTTTGGGTTTAATTCCAGACAGCTGTAAAACTCCCTACCACTTTATCTGCAAGCTAAGGGATGGACAACCCGGACCCTCTCTGGAAATCAGCCAGACCACCATGAGACCAGTTCCAGCAGACCCCCAACCCAAACCAACTACGGCCATAACTAGTCCTCCGACTGTAAGATCCGACCCAACATCCCAGCCCAACAGCCTGACATTAGGGCCGGAGTCCTGTGAGAACCAGAACCCCAAACATCCCAGCATCCGTTCCCTGACTGCCGATCCCAGTAACAGCAGCAGGGTTTTGGTGGAGTGTTGGTCCGAGGTGAAGGTGGAGGTGGTTTGTTCAGGTGTTCCTGCCGTTTGGCGAGTGTTGAACGGCTCCCTGGCTGATTTCAGCGTCCTCTGCCAGTGCGAGGCAGGCTTCCAGGAGGAGGACTCTGGGCTTTGCGTGGATATAGACGAGTGCAGCACTGGGAGCCCCTGCCAGCACACCTGCCTAAACACCCAGGGCTCCTACAGGTGTGTCTGCGGGGCGGACCAGGACTCTCCGTGTGAGCAGGACGTTCCACCAGCCAATGGCAAGATGTCGTTATCACACGTCCTGATCCCAGTACTGGCAGTTGTTGCTGTGCTTCTGGTAATACTGGCAGTGGTTGTTGTGGTGAAATGCTGTTTAAAGAGGCGTGAGAAGAAGAAGAGGACCAAACCATGAACCAGATGGGATCATAGAAGGCCATCTGGACGAACATTAACCTTCATTAACGCCATGTAATCCGCCAAGAAGACGTCTCACCTTTCCTGGCGTCCCTATGAAATGTTTTTAAAATTCTTTTCCAGCTCCTCTGTACCTCTGTAACCTGCTCCACCCTGATTTTTCTCTTAGGACTCTGAGATCATCTGAGCAGCTTCTGTTGGTAAAAGCTACAAACCAGACAGGTTTGTCCTCTCCCTGGTTTAAAGTCTCTAAAGCCACAATCATTTCTGCTGTTTGCTGTTCGTTCTAGTTTCTCTCTTATTTTACTGTAGTTTTCCTAGAAGCTTTTCTTCTGCTTTTATTGTTTTTACTGTTGACTTAAATTGATCTTAAATATGCTCAATAAATAAAGTGGATCTCGATTTGAGATCCCATGCTGTGAATAATCGTTATAATTAATAATGAATAATTGTTGTTTTTTACAGAAAGTAAAATAAGCAGCACTTGGATAAATTAATTTTTAATCCAGCATCAACTGATTATAATGGATTAAATAAGAATTTACCTATTGTGCCTCAGATCTCCTCAGATTTCTGCCAGTAGAGAACAGTTATGTCTCAGACCGCACACTGCAGGAGCAGCTTAAACGCCTTCCTTTCTTGATGCTTGTTCAAGTTTAATTCTGACTCGTGGCTGAAGCATCTTTGCTGCTTTAGCTGTGCGGTGGAAAAAAGTGGGTCTGATGCATGTTGGGTGGAGCTACCCTATCCTTTCTTTGCCTTTAATGGCAGCTATATTTGCTGTGATCAGTGGGTAAAGAGTGGTTTGAATCTATTTTGAGGTGAGAAAGTCCATCTGAAACATGGTCTGTGCGGTCAGTTCATCCAGATTACCACCCCGGCTTCAAAGATTATTTATCTGTGGGAGCCGCTCAGACTCCCACATGGCGGAGCGCTGTCACTGGGAATCCCCAGCAGCAGCTGCCTCAGAAACGCACGCCTCTTAGGGGTTTCCCGGTACTGTTTGTGGCGGCTGGAAATAGATGTTAGCGGTTTTTCAGGTCTGTGGTACAAACTGCAGGCAGCAGGATAATAAAAGCTAAAAAAAAAATTCTGGCAGGTTTCTACATTTTATGTTAATTTAGGCGTTAATAAACTGTTTCAGAGGAGCGATCATAGTGCTCTGCATCAGCAGTGCTGTGTCTGACTCCCTGCCAGCTCCCAGATCAGCTTCTCTGATTGGTTGATGTGGTGCGTCCAGCAGCAAAAGTTCAGTTTTTCCAACTCCTGCAGCTGCTGCTTCAGCCGCTCAGACGTGCTGCTCCTGCAGGACCTTTTGCTGACCCTTGTTTTCCGTCAGCCATTGACTTTGCTGCTTCTGCTGCCTCTGCCGCTCGTGGTCTGTACCTAGCATTAAACATCCACAGCAACAAACACTGATTTGGCCTCAAATCTGCAGGAACATCAGCCAGCAATTAGAGTTCATCTTCATCTTTTCCCCAGTGTTTGACTTCTACAGCCAGGGGTGTTTAGAAAGTATTTCCTGTTTGAGTTCAGCAGTAACAGGACAGGAAATAGTTCCCCTCCTCAGATTGTCATGTGTCTGAAGCTTATCTAGCGTGTTTGGCCCTGTGTTGCTGCCACAACCTTTTGTCCCCACCAAGCTGAAGTTTCATCATTGTTTTCCACTAGCCATCAGCCTGGTACCTATTGGCAGACAGGGCACACACCTGGACAGTTGGCCACTCCTTCGTCAAGGCAACACACAGACATGCACCCAGGCACTAATACCTAAGGAAATGTAAAGACTCAGATAAACCTAACACCCATGTTTCCTGACTGTGGGAGGAAACCAGAGTAGCCAGACTCCAGAAAGACACCTTCCTGATGCAAACCTGCCAGTGCACAGCTTTCAGGGGAAACTAAAGAGCAGATTTTTCTGTTGTGCACTAAATCACCTGAGACTGATGACAGTGAAGTTGGCATCTGAATAGTTGATTATTTGCTAAATGTAATGCTACGTTCACAGCTAAAGCAGAAGAGGCAGCAGAAGCAGCTGGTTTACAAGCAAAGTTAATGGTTGACAAGCATCAAGGCTCAGCAAAAGGTGCTGCAGCGCATTTAGAGCAGCAGGTGCAGAGCGTCTGAGCAGCTGACGCGTAGAATGCGCTGCAACAGCAGCAGCTGCAGGAGTTGGAAAAAATTTATTTTAACTGCTGGACGTGGCACATCAACCAATCAGAGAAGCTGATCTGGGAGCTGGCAGGGAGACAGACACAGCACTGCTGATGCAGAGCGCTATGATAATTCCTCTGAAACAGTTTATTAACACCTAAATTAACTTAAAATGCCAAAATCTGCTGGCAAAACATGTTAGATTTTATTATCCCCGTGCCTGCAGTTTGGATTACGTGCATGAAAATCTCTTTCCAGCCGCGAAGAGGTGACCGGGCCATAGACTGCTGCTGGGGATTCCTAGTGACAGCGCACCGCCGGTATGTGGGGGTCTGAGCGGCTCCCACAGAGAAATAATCTTTGAAAGCAGGATGGTAATCTGGATGAACTGACTGCACGGACCATGTTTTTAGGAGGACGTTCACACTTCAAAATAGATTCAAACTACTTTTTATCCACTGATCACAGCAAATATAGCTGCCATTGTTCCAGGCAAAAAAAAAAAAGGATAGGGTAGCTCCACCCAACACGCATCAGACCCACTTTTCCACCAAACAGCTAGAGCAGCAGGCGCGTTTTAGCTGCTCCTGCTACGCGCAGTCTGAACGTAGCATAAGAGCTTTCCTCATTGATTAAGGAAGATTTGTTGATCTATAGTCCTTAGTGGTGGCCTAGTGGTTAGAGCAGTGCACTTGTGCTCTGAGAGGGTTGCAAGTACCAGGTTTGATCCCCACAGCCTGCACTCTGGGTCCCTGATCAAGACCCTTAAGCCCACATTGCTCCCCGGGCGCGGCACAATGGCAGCCCACTGCTCCCCAAGGGGTGAGTGAATTTCCCCACAGAGGGTAAATAAAGGGATTCACATTAACAAAGCAGGGCTAAGTGCGGGCACAGTCTGATGGTGTATATTATCACTGGGAAAGCTGGAAAATACTTTTTTTGGTTTTTTCTTCAGCGTTATCCAAAGCTGGGAGATTCACTAAATTGCTCTTGATGATTATGCACAAAAATACGTTCACTGATCTGCCTTCTTAGCTATACATCCACTATGCCAATAAAGGACAGGCTACAAAAGCATTAATATAACCTGATATTTTAATTTTAATTCATTAAATCATTTATGTCCTTGTTTTGTCCTTGTTTTGTTCTCGGGAAGAAAACACAGATAATGTTGGGTCTGCATAGTATTACAATATTCTAGAATTCTGCAGCTCTATAAACTTTGCAAGATTTAGTTCCTCTGTTTCTAGGTCAGAGTTTCTCTTTCTGATTGTTTTGCCTCTTTTGTTTAATGCTGTGCAGCTGAATGAATTCTTACAACCACAACAAGTTTATTTTTTACACCCAGCAGCAGCTCATCGACATCTTAAATAAGACTTGAAACTTTGAAAACAACCAGGGCTATGAAGATACTCTGCTGCCACCTAGTGGTCAGATCTGTACACAACCATCTAAACAGTCTTCTTAATGTAAACAACAACAAATACAAATACCTGAAACTACAATCAGGCTGTAATGTTGAAAAACAGATCGAAGTGATAAAAGGGATGATGTTTTTGGGCAACAACTACCTTAGATGGAGACAAAAAAAGAAAACTTTAATCTGGAGTTGCAGAGGCAGGGTTGAATGACAGTCACTGAACAAAACCCTGTCCAGTTTGAACATTTTATTTGATAACCTGATATTTTATCTAGCTTAGGACCTTGTCATTGGGAGGGACCCTCGTCAGAAAATGCTGCAACAACTTTTAAAGTCTTTTAAAGAGGGCAGCAATCTTGCTTACAGTGATAAAACTTTAAAGAGTCGCTGTGATTAAAAGGGTCATTTGTCATTGGATGTGAACCCTGGTTTAATTTAGAGCAGGCAGACTAAAAGAGCTGCTTCATTCTAAAAACTAATATCAAGTCTAATAATTTAGTAAGAAACTAGATCAGACAGGTGCAGCTGATCCAGATGCTGCTGCTGCATCCTCACTAGAACTATAGAAAGTAGATCAGACAGCTGCAGCTGATCCAGATGCTGCTGCCTGCGTCCTCACTAGAACCATAGAAAGTAGATCAGACAGCTGCAGCTGATCCAGATGCTGCTGCCTGTATCCTTACTAGAACTATAGAAAGTAGATCAGACAGCTGCAGCTGATCCAGATGCTGCTGCCTGTATCCTTACTAGAACTATAGAAAGTAGATCAGACAGCTGCAGCTGATCCAGATGCTGCTGCCTGTATCCTCACTAGAACTATAGAAAGTAGATCAGACAGCTGCAGCTGATCCAGATGCTGCTGCCTGCGTCCTCACTAGAACTATAGAAAGTAGATCAGACAGCTGCAGCTGATCCAGATGCTGCTGCCTGTATCCTCACTAGGACTATAGAAAGTAGTTCAGACAGCTGCAGCTGATCCAGATGCTGCTGCCTGCGTCCTCACTAGAACTATAGAAAGTAGATCAGACAGCTGCAGCTGATCCAGATGCTGCTGCCTGTATCCTTACTAGAACTATAGAAAGTAGATCAGACAGCTGCAGCTGATCCAGATGCTGCTGCCTGTATCCTTACTAGAACTATAGAAAGTAGATCAGACAGCTGCAGCTGATCCAGATGCTGCTGCCTGCGTCCTCACTAGAACTATAGAAAGTAGATCAGACAGCTGCAGCTGATCCAGATGCTGCTGCCTGTATCCTTACTAGAACTATAGAAAGTAGATCAGACAGCTGCAGCTGATCCAGATGCTGCTGCCTGTATCCTTACTAGAACTATAGAAAGTAGATCAGACAGCTGCAGCTGATCCAGATGCTGCTGCCGGTATCCTTACTAGAACTATAGAAAGTAGATCAGACAGCTGCAGCTGATCCAGATGCTGCTGCCTGGATCCTCACTAGAACTATAGAAAGTAGATCAGACAGCTGCAGCTGATCCAGATGCTGCTGCCTGTATCCTTACTAGAACTATAGAAAGTAGATCAGACAGCTGCATCTGATCCAGATGCTGCTGCCTGGATCCTCACTAGAACTATAGAAACTAGATCAGACAGCTGCAGCTGATCCAGATGCTGCTGCCTGTGTCCTTACTAGAACTATAGAAAGTAGATCAGAGCTGCAGCTGATCCAGATGCTGCTGCCTGCATCCTCACTAGAACTATAGAAAGTAGATCAGACAGCTGCAGCTGATCCAGATGCTGCTGCCTGTGTCCTCACTAGAACTATAGAAAGTAGATCAGACAGCTGCAGCTGATCCAGATGCTGCTGCTGCATCCTCACTAGAACTATAGAAAGTAGATCAGACAGCTGCGGCTGATCCAGATGCTGCTGCCTGGATCCTCACTAGAACTATAGAAAGTAGATCAGACAGCTGCAGCTGATCCAGATGCTGCTGCCTGCATCCTCACTAGAACTATAGAAACTAGATCAGACAGCTGCAGCTGATCCAGATGCTGCTGCCTGGATCCTCACTAGAACTATAGAAACTAGATCAGACAGCTGCAGCTGATCAAGATGTTGCTGCCTGTGTCCTTACTAGAACTATAGAGAGTAGATCAGAGCTGCAGCTGATCCAGATGCTGCTGCCTGCATCCTCACTAGAACTATAGAAAGTAGATCAGACAGCTGCAGCTGATCCAGATGCTGCTGCCTGTGTCCTCACTAGAACTATAGAAAGTAGATCAGACAGCTGCAGCTGATCAAGATGTTGCTGCCTGTGTCCTCACTAGAACTATAGAAAGTAGATCAGACAGCTGCAGCTGATCAAGATGTTGCTGCCTGCGTCCTCACTAGAACTATAGAAAGTAGATCAGACAGCTGCAACTTATCCAGATGCTTTTGCCTGCATCCTCACTAGAACTATAGAAAGTAGATCAGACAGCTGCAGCTGATCCAGATGCTACTGCCTGTGTCCTCACTAGAACTATAGAAAGTAGATCAGACAGCTGCAGCTGATCCAGATGCTACTGCCTGTGTCCTCACTAGAACTATAGAAAGTAGATCAGACAGCTGCAACTGATCCAGATGTTGCTGCTGCGTCCTCATAAGAACTATAGAAAGTAGATCAGACAGCTGCAGCTGATCCAGATGCTGCCTGTGTCCTCACTAGAACTATAGAAAGTAGATCAGACAGCTGCAGCTGATCCAGAAGCTGCTGCCTGCATCCTCACTAGAACTATAGAAAGTAGATCAGACAGCTGCAACTGATCCAGATGTTGCTGCTGAGTCCTCATAAGAACTATAGAAAGTAGATCAGACAGCTGCAGCTGATCCAGATGCTGCCTGTGTCCTCACTAGAACTATAGAAAGTAGATCAGATAGCTGCAGCTGATCCAGAAGCTGCTGCCTGCATCCTCACTGGTAAACTAGTTCAGGACTAAGGTGCGGACTGAGTTTAGATTAATGGTTAGATAAGTACTGGTAATTGTTAGGTTAATGGTTAGGGTTAAGTATGAATTTGTAATAATTAGGTTAATGGTTATGGGTAGGACAGCTACTGGACAGCTACTGGTAATAGTTAGGTTAATGGTTAGAGTTGGGTAAGGACTGGTAATGGTTAGGTTAATGGTTAGAGTTAGGTAAGGACTGGTTATGGTTAGGTTAAAGATTAGGGTTAGGTAAGGACTGGTAATGGTTAGGTTAATAGTTAGGTAAGTACTGGTAATCGTTAGGTTAATGGTTGGGGTTAAGTATGAACTGGTAATAGTTAGGTTAATGGTTACGGGTAGGACAGCTACTGGTAATAGTTAGGTTAATGGTTAGAGTTGGGTAAGGACTGATAATGGTTAGTTTACAGGTTGGGGTTAGGCAAGTACTGGTAATGGTTAGGTTAATGGTTAGGGTTAGGTATGTACTGGTAATGGTTAGGTTAATGGTTAGAGTTAGGTAAGGACTGGTTATGGTTAGGTTAAAGATTAGGGTTAGGTAAGAACTGGTAGTGGGTAGGTTAATGGTCAGGGTTAGGTAAGTACTGGTAATCGTTAGGTTAACGGGTAGAGTTAGGTAAGGACTGGTAGTGGTTAGGTTAAAGGTTGGGGTTAGGTAAGGACTGGTAATCGTTACGTTAAAGGTTAGGTAAGTACTGGTAATCGTTAGGTTAATGGTTAGGGTTAGGTATGTACTGTTAAAGTTAGGTTAATAGTGTATTAATCAGTTATATTAGGATTTAGGTTTATTGTCAGATTTGTGGCATAGAAAAGGAGGAAAGGTACTGTAAATAAATGTCTGTAGGTCTATACTAGTTCTCGCGATATATATATATACAACAAGATGAGACTTTGTGTACTTTCAGTATATTTACCAACCTTCTGAGGACCAACAGGCCCAGTGGGGACCAAGGCTGGTCCTAATGTGGTAAACCTCTATTTCTAACCATAAGCCCCATTTACACTGACCTTTTGAAAGCCTGCTGAGAATGGTCTGAGCATGGTTACATGATAACTGTTAATTAGTAAATCAAATGCATCTGAACTGGACCGTGCCAGAAACAAACAAACTGCGCTAAATCTATTACTAGTTCATCAGTAGGGCCTGGCACGGTTAATCTGTGCGTCATATATTTACAGTCAACATTGTGTGTTTATGTGTGTTCTTGTTTTTAATACATTGTGGGGCTCATGTTCTGGAATAACAGCTCCTTATGGGGACCAACTGCTCTATGTGGGGCCTGATGCCGGGACCCCACGAGAGGAATATAGGACAAAGGTGTGAAATGAGTTTAGGTTGGGGTTAGGTTCAGGTTTGAACCCATAATGGTTAAGCTTAGGATGAGGTTCCCAGTTATGCTGTAGAAATGAATGTAAGTCAATGGAAAGGCACCACAAAGATAGTGAGACAAGTTAGTAGTGTGTCTGTGTGTGTGAGAGATTGTAGAGATAAGGCAGAGGTGAAAAGTTCAGCAGAGCAACAAAGCTCTCAACATGACTTTAATAACAGGCTGATACACATTCACCTTTGTTGTTTCGGAAACAGGTAGAAGTCATCTGCAGGTGAGCAGCTCACACACACACAGACAGTAACCTCTGACCTAGCCTGAACTAATACACAGTGTCATCCTCTGACAGAGACATGCTGTTCAGAGCCAAACCCAGACCTTGGCAGCACCAACAGTCCCAACAGAACAACCTTGTTTTAGTATTTATGGGTAGAACATGAAACAGGTTCTGCTCGGGGTCCAATACTCAGACAAATACAGGGCGGACAGAACCTGGAGGAGGCAAAAGAGCCCGGTTCCTGCTCCCTGTATGCCGGCGTCAGGACTGGAGTCTGGCAGTCTGAGCGCAGGCTGGGGCAAGGTGACAGCCAGGTGAGTCAGTCTCCACAGTAACACGATAATGAGCACTAAGAGGTCTTTCATTTGACAGGATGCACAATTTACACTCGTGTGAGTCACACCGAAACCCCAACAAGTTCCAGTGAAAGAACCGGGAGCCAGATCCACCTCCACACCGTGGTGTCGTCACTGCTTCCGGGTCAGGTCTTGACATTACAAACTGATTCCAGCGTTGAAATCAGGGCCACATGTCGGAGGACAGGTTTAATAATTTCATCTCTGTTTAGAGGAGATTAAAAAATCTGATTAAAATCATCAGGTTGATTGAAGCTGATCAAGTCAACAATCAGGCGGCTCTAATGTTGGACGTACAGCCTGAGGGCGTTTAAACGGAACAGGAACCCTACTTCTCCATCCAGCCTTTGTTCTTCTCTCCTGCTTGTCCTCTGTACCCCCCTCCTCCCCCTCTCTGTGTTTTGGTTCAAGCGTCCTCTAAGCCCCCAGCTCATCCAGTTAATCCAGTGAGATAATGGTGAACAGGGAGTGGTTGTTCTGCTCTGTAACTTCCTCACTAACAGCCTCTAAAATCACTGGACTGGAACCGACAGCAAGCGCAGCAGATCATCATTATCATCATCATCTATGGACCCGTTCTCCCAGCAGAGAAAGCTGTGATTATTCGTACCATAGAAGCTGACAGAGACTCTGATCTACAAGGCCGACCCAAGGTTGTAAGAGGCCCCTACCAAGTGTGGTTCTGGGGGATCCACCTGCAGTGAAGACAATGTTTACTTCAGGGTTCCTCACGTCTCAGTTTAAGCAAACTTTTTCCCTGTTGTGTGTTTAATCCATGTTTTAGTCCCCTGTGAACAGCCGTAAAGTCCTTTGATTAACCGCATGAGAAACTAAACTCTGAATCCGTTTGTCTCTGAGCCTTTTGGTCCGCCTGCTCAGTCAACAGAAGCTCAGCAAAGTCCTGAAGGAGCGCAAGTTTTATTTTATCAGCAATCTTTAAAATGTCAGTTCATAATATATAAACATATAAATATTCCTTTAAATTGGAACTTTTATCAAGTCCTCTAAGGGCCCCTGCTGGTGTGGGGCCCCTGAGCAGTGATCTGTTTAACATGGATCAGAGTTTTGCTTCTTTAAATAGTTTGCAGTGATCCAGTAAGTGGAGTTCTTCCCGTTAGCAGGCATCCTCACAGCCTCACATCTGTCTGTTAGAATTAATCGATAAAGTTAGTTATTTTCACTTTTTCATCAGGAAGGAAATTCTCATTATTTTTTCCGCTTAACTTTTTAACTAAATGACCTTTTGGCAGAAGAAAAGTCAGAGTTTTTAAATCTCAGATATTTGGATATGGATCCTGCTGAATGTTCAGGTTCTTCATCCAACTCCAAGAGGAGCCAGCCCCCACTATAAGCAAACCTTGCTCCTGTTCAGGGGCCCCTGTACATTAATATAAACCAACGATCCAGTAATAATCTTCACTTCACCTCACTAAATTTTGCTTCCTTTGTCAAAGCTGGTGAAATTATGTCAGAACAGATCAGAAATTATCTCCATTATTTAAGCCATATTTTAATCTAGTGATTATTTTCCCATTAATTGATTGATGTAAAAAACAAATCCTGAGTTCAAATAAACAAATTTTTAATCTTGAAAGACATTTTCAGGCGTTATAAAATGCAAAAACATGTAATTAAAAATATATTGAATTTTGGGAAAAGCAGGTCCGAAAGGAGGAGATAAAGGTTTCTCATTTTAAATGCTTAACGATGTAAAATCTAAAGTTGTTTTTTACAATTTAGGCTAAATTTCTGCTCTGAGTGGATCCTTATTTCAAAAATGGATGTTTTAGTCTCTATCCTCCACTTATTTATTTTAATATCTTATTTAATTTTTCATAAATTATTAGTCCATCAAATTTGCATCAAAGCAGATTCTTCATTACTTCAATCCTTGGACAGCATAAACAGAAGGACAGAGGGGCCCAAAGGATGGGCCCCAAATAATATTCTACTCCTTGGACTGGTTCTAAGCTGCAAACCACAGAAATCTTTAAGTCCAAAAATTAAATCAATAACAAAGAAAAAGAAAGACTAAATCAATCAGACAGCTGACTAGATGATTTAAATTAATCAAACCACAGTTTTATTAACTTCTGCTTTATTTGTTCTAAACATCCTTTACATATAAAGTCACAAAAAGTATAATTATAATAATAATAGAATTGAGGGCAAATAAATGACTCTTTGTTTCCTGAATGAATTAGATTAAACTGAAACATTTATAGAAAAATTAGCCTCAGTAAGTGAAATTATTATTTCTTTTAAAGATTTTGAACCTTTTGAAAGTTATAAGGTTTCAACAGCGATTAGCAGGTTTTTCTGATAAATTATGTTTGTTTTTATTATTTGAGGCTGAATCGTTTCTCTGCAGCAGAACCGGACCGGTACCTCAGCCATGAGTCCAAAGAGAGGATATTTTTTTAATGAGCTTTATCTACAAATGCAGGATAAAGAACTGCAAACAGTCGTATGCTCCAGGTGCTGGGAGAACAAATCCACAAAAAAAAGAGAGAGAAAAATCAAAAACAGTTTACCACTGAGCTGCATCAGTCAGGGTTTCACAGCTGGTGAACATCCAAAAAAAACTGTCAGGCTGGGTTTAATTTTAGCCAGAAAGTTTATCAGATATTCTTTCCCAGACATCCTGTTATTGGAAATACCAAAGAAAACATGTTTAACATTAAAAGGAATCATTCAGACTAAAGAAAATATTAAAGTCACACCAAAGATTTTGTTGAAAGAGAATTCCATAAAAAAAAGGTGGGTTAATGTTTCTAGTTTGATGTGACAAAAAAAAAAGAGGATTAATATTTGGAAAATATTAATTCCATACTGAATTAACAGGAAAACAGCTGTGAAGAATTTTAAGGGACTCCTCCCTTAAATTATTGTTTGTTGCCAATCAATATCTGAACAAAGATTGCTCAAAAAAAAAAAAAAGACTATTTTTATTTATTATTTGTCTAATTTATTTCCAGTTTTACTCCTAAAGGAACGGATCTGAATGACCAATAAATAACTGTGGAAATCTGGGATTATGGACATGGGTTGACATTTCAATCGTGCTGGAATAAAACCACAGCAGATTCTTTGGGGTCACTGGGAAGTTTTATTTATTAAGAAAATCTGATCATTAAACTTTCCAGATTAAACATCATTATCCAGCCAGAGGATCAGCGAATGAAGGAGAGAGAAGTTAGAGAGGAGGGAGGTGATGGAGGCTGAACCTATAGGAGAAGGAGGAACACATGAGAGCGCAGGTCACCTCCTCCTCCTCCTCCTCCTCTCTACTCCTCACTTCGCTCCGCTTGGCTCGACTCGGCGCCTCCGTCCGGAGCGGAGGCTGACAGACAGGTGGACCCGGAGCGGGAGCAGCAGGGTCGGTGTTCCGGCTGCCGTCATGCTGGGCACGGTGAAGATGGAAGGCCACGAAGCTCCGGACTGGAGCGGATACTACAGCGAGGAGGTGGGTCACCGTCCGCGCGCCAAACGGCGCACATAGAGCCGCACATAGAGCCGCAGAGAGAGCCGCACATTTTATTACAGATCAGGGAAAAACATCTCCTGTAAAAACCCAGAAGCAGATTTAATCTGCAAATTAAGACAGAAATAAAAAGATTCAGTTTATAGAATCGGGATTAGATTAAGTTTTTAGATAAAAACATAATAAAGTCAGTTTATTAGAAGCTTTTTGTTTAAAAGGGAAAAAAAAAGAAGCAAAAGAGCGAGAATTTAATCCGGTCTTAATTACATTTTTTTTTAACTAATAAACTAGAATGTTGAAATAAAACATTATTTTCCAGCAAAGCGCGTCTCTTTTTAAAAATGGTAGAGGTTCTTTTAAAAAAATAAATAATAATAATAATATTAATAATCATCATAATATTAATAATTATAATAATAGTAGCTAATAAACAATGTTCAGTTAAAATAAAAGCAATTTTTAAGGTTTATCTTTATTAACTGAAGTAATAGCCTACTTTTGGTGAAATTAGAGCTCAAAACAGGTCATGTTATTTATTTTCAGCGTTCAAAGAAAATGTAAGGTTCGTTGTAAAAAATAATAATAAATAATATATATATATATATATATATATATATATATATATATATATATATTCTAATCATAAATTGTAGATTTGATTCCTGGATAAAACGAAAAAATGCAGTAGCCTATTTCTAATTTGTTGTTAAACAATTCTACAATTACTTTTAGAATTTCTAAATATCTCCAGACTCTTTAACAGGCCAATAATACATTTTTACTGATTAAGTCTTTGTTTTAAAAATAATTAAAAACAACTATTTAGCCTACTATAAAACTGTTTTTTACAATTTGATTTGAGATAAACGTGTTTAATCAGTCACATTTTGAGCAATTATTTTATCTCTGACTTTACATTTAAATATATTTCTAACAGGAAACATTAATAATTTGAACAAATGTTTCCATTCATCAGATCAGATTAAGATCGGAAAGGGAGGAAAAAAAAAATAAAAAATGCTCCTAAAAACTGGAATATTTCTGCTTCCAATCCACATGAATTTTAAATAACTAAGATCTGATTTCTGCTTAGAAATTTAATAAAACCGTCTGTCTTCTCCTCAACATTAAGTCCTGCTGTTCCTTCAGCCCGGTCCGGGTAACACCCGGGTCTGGGGGACCTTTGAGCTGACATGCATGCTTTGGGGGAGAAGCTGCTGTGATCAGCTTTATGTTGGAGATGATTTTTATTGAGTTAATTTCTGTAAGTCTGACTGTCTTCTGCTCATTCAGGGTAACTTTGCAGAAATGGTTCCGGATAATCTGAGGCATGTTTCAAACTGAGCTGTTTTCAGTGATTCTACAGAGGCAGCAGGTCCGGTCCGGTTCTATAGAACCCCTCCAGTCAAAGCTGACCTCCTCTGTGTCTGTGCCCCCTGCAGGTGTACTCTCCAATGCCAGGTACCGGGATGGGTTCTGGTCTGGGAATGACGTCCATGTCTGGCTACATGTCGAGCAGCGGGACTACATCGGGCTCCTTCAACATGTCCTACAGCGGTACGGGTCTCAGTCCCTCCCCTGTAGGAGGGATGGGGGGCTCTGCTCCGGCGCCCATGTCCGGCCTCGGAGGGGGGATGGCCTCCATGGGCGGGGCTCTGAGCCCGTCCAGCATGAACTCGGTTTCGGCCCAGCAGGCTTCTTTGGGTCTGAACCCATACGGGGGCATGAGTCCAAACCTGGGCTCCGGCATGGCGTACGGCAGCGGCGGACTGAACCGAAGCCGAGACAACAAGACGTTCAGACGGAGCTACCCGCACGCTAAGCCCCCCTACTCCTACATCTCACTCATCACCATGGCGATCCAGCAAGCGCCCAGTAAGATGCTGACGCTGAGTGAGATCTACCAGTGGATCATGGACCTGTTCCCGTACTACCGACAGAACCAGCAGCGCTGGCAGAACTCCATCCGCCACTCACTGTCCTTCAATGACTGCTTCGTCAAGGTCTCCCGCTCGCCTGACAAACCGGGCAAAGGTTCCTACTGGACCCTGCACCCAGACTCTGGGAACATGTTTGAGAACGGCTGCTACCTGCGGCGCCAGAAGAGGTTTAAGTGTGAGAAGAAAAGTCCGGGGAAAGCGGATGGGAGGAAGGAGCACATGGGGGCAGGCGGGGGCCGGTGCACCTCTCCCGCTGAAAACTCCTCCAAAGCTGCCGGACTTCTGGACTCCTCTGGACCCTCCTCCAGCCAGACGGTCTCCCCCGCCGGCTTGGACCTGAGGGAAGGAGTTGGCGGGGTGTCAGACCTGAAGGTCTCTGGTTCTCATTTACTGTCATCCCTGACATTGCCCCCCCACTCCATGGGCCATGAAACTGCTCTGCATATCAAAGGAGACCCCCACTACTCCTTTAACCACCCGTTTTCCATCAACAACTTAATGTCGTCCTCAGAGCAGCAGCACAAACTGGACCTGAAGGCCTACGAGGCACTGCAGTACTCCTCCTACAATGGTGGGGGGGCCTCTGGTCTTGGAGGGAGGACCATGGAGCCTCTGGAGGCCTCGTACTACCAGGGGATGTATCCCAGACCGCTCCTGAACAGCTCCTCCTAGCTGCTGCATGTACCCCCCCCCCCCCCTGTGTGGAGTTTGGACCTCCTGCATGCAGCTGTGCTGGACCTCTGGTCTAAAGGGAGCTGAACTGAACTCCCTCAATGTGACCAAACACCCACGGCCCGGTTCAAACCGTCCCCAGTTCTGGCCTCCTTTGGTACCGAGCCAGAATCCGAAAAAAACATCAATGCAGGATCTCGCCAGTCAGACTATCATCACCCCGTTAGATGTCAGCGTTCTAATGTCTTGGTTGTAATTTGGGGAAAGCAAACCAAGGTGTTGATGTTTGATGGGGATCTCTAGATGAATGGAACTGTAGGTTTCTCCTTAGGAAAGGTTCTCTTTGTTTATCTCAAAGCCCCCCATGATGAAACAGTGTATTGTTGATGGTGACAGATGCAGAACCTCTGTGCAGCGGAGAAAACACGATGTTAAAAACCCAGAGATCTTGTGGTTATAATCGCCGATCAAATTCCATCACTACACCAAATGCATAATATCCAAACATGGATTCCTGATTTTGTTTTAGCGTTTCTGAGTTTAGTTCCATCACCTCCAGTCCCACAGGGTCTTTAACGGTTCTGTCTAACAGCCTGCCATGCAGAAAGGTGGAAGCTCAGCTCCTTTTCAGCAGCATGCTGGTGGTGCGTCATCATGCAAAGCTCCTTTTTAAGAACCTAAAGGGGAAGCTGCTGAGAAGCATCTTTCTAAAGATGCTCAGAAATGTTTAGAGCCATGCAGATCCCCGACACATCAGTGCTCCTCATCCAGCCTGAGGCCAGAGGTCACCTGCAGATGCTAATGTGTCTATTGTAGGGGTGTTTACACAGCGCACCCAAAACCAGGATCAGAAACCATATTTCTCTGTAGAAGTGATGAGGATTTAATTCTCCCACGCCCCCCCTTTCCATCCCCATTGACCTCCTGGGGGGGTCAAGGCCCTCAGCCTGAGAAACACATGAATGGGGTTTTATTAAAGAGGTCAGTTTGCGTAAAAAATAGAAAGTTTGAAGGATGAGGAGGAACAATCGGGAACTGGACAGTGAGAAATCCCGTCTTTGATCATTGATTGAGGCGATAATTCGTTTCTTCATTAATCTCATTCCCATGAAAGAAACGGATCAGAACCGTTTATCCTGGGAAAACACAGACAGTGTAAATATCTCCCTTTAGCTAATGAAGGTCATCTCTAGTTAGACAGCAGCCATGTGTTTAATAGATGACAGGAGTGTGTGTTTTTCTGCTTCAACTCCTTCTCATTTATTCATCTCCATGCCGTCAGCGCAGAAGCAAAGTCTTTGCTTCCAGGTCGGTTTTTAATCAAAACATTTTTTTTTTGTCTCTGATCCAAAACTGGGAGACTAATCCAACATGGCCGTCTGTGCTCACGCTGCATTTGTGGAGGCAGAACTTCCTCCCAGCCCATCAGGTCCACTCAGTGTTTGCTGGTCTGACTGGTTTTTCTGGTCCACTCTGACACTGGACCACAGAGCAGAGCCACAACCGGGTCTCAGTTATCCTTCGGAGGCTTGATGTGAATGAAACTCCCTTCAGAGGAGAGCAGACAGCCCGGTTCTGAGGTTCTGCTGCAGAGCTTTTTATTTCAAACAGAACCGCCTCTCAGATCTGATGATACCTTTGATCCTGGGTCGATGTTTTCTGATTGCATCACTTCCTGTTTGAGCCTAAATGTTCCCATGTGCATGAGGGCCGTTCTCCTTTCCTTTAGGTTTGGTTTATGACCCCCCCTCCCAGTTGTGCTTTTGGTCTTTGTTGGGTTTTGGACTCTGCATGCTTGTTACTAACTTATTCAGTCATTTTCAAATAAAACAAACAAATACAAGAAAGATTTGCTGTTGGCTGATGATTAAGGGTCTCTTTAAAGGTGTCAATAAACCTGATTTTGTGCCATTTAAAGCTGATTAATAAGCAAACTGATTCATTTAGTATAAATGACTTTTAAAAAGAAAACCGGAATACTAATGCTGCTAAATTCTTAGCTAATAAACTATCATCTTATCATTTTTATCCAGGTGGGTTCAGGGATTTAGCCAAAAAGCTTCTGTTCATATCCAGTTATTTTACCTGGAAAACAACATTTTACGGTTCAGCTGGTTTTTAAGTTTTTAAGTTTTAAACCTTGTTGATTCTGAATGAATCTGACCTTTTTATCCACTAGAAGCTGTAAAGGATTTCTTTTATTACAAAATTTTAAAATAATCCAACCACAGAATCCAAAAAAAAAAAAAAAACATTTGTCCATATCAGTGGCAGGATTATAGAAAAGGGCTTCACTACAAAAAATTCTCATTAATCAATAATATTCAGGGCTTTAATAACAGAGGTCAAACTGGGATGTAGCTGTTTATTAATTATTTGTGGAGTAAAGTGAACTTCATTTATTTTAATAGATGGACTTTATTTCATATTAATAAAATAAAGAGTTAAATTCCACCTAAATAAACTTCCTGTTTTGTTGCTCATATTTAAAAAGAGGAAAGAAGGGACTTTTGATCCTAAAATATGATGGAGGTGAGTCCGTTTCCTGACAACAAGCAGGTAATGAGGCTAACCTTCCTGCTGCCATCAGCGGCGGTTCCTAAGGTCCAAACTGGACGAACCGAACCTCTGCAGGAGAACAACATGACGCAGCGCTGGGGGCCGGAGGACGCAGCCCTGGGAACCGGGCCACTGAAACCCAATTGGACCGGAACCGTTCATCTGTTTCTGTTCATGTTTCATCAACCATCAGAATTTACTGAACCAACATCTTTATGTTCTGCAAACAGAGGTGAAGCTTCAGCTTTATGAGGTTCCATCTAATGGAGCAGCTCCAGCAGAGGAAGGTGGAGGATTAATAATAAACAGAAGAGGAAGCAGCGGGGTGAAAGGTCAACATTTGGACGTTGGTCGAAAAACCGCTCTTTATTTATTTCAAATTAGTTTTTAGATTTTATTCGTTTATGTCGGATTGAAATATAACACGCCTGTTGTTATTTTCTGTTGTTAAACAGAAAGTCTGTTATTCGTGGACAGATTTAGTGACTTGTCCCGCAGGCCGCGGCTTCCCGCCGGGCCTGCAGCCGGAGAACGAGGCGCTGCGCGCGGCTCGCTGTCGGCCTAACCTCCGCCGCTTCAGCTTTGATCCCAGGCTGTCCGTCACGCGCTCACCGCCCAGCAGCAGAAAGGACTCCAATCATCCAGGAATTATCCGCTAATTATCCCAACACTAAGCGCGCACCAACCGAGGCAGACACGTCGGGAGCGCGCAAACCGCGGTCCTGATGTCAGAGAAGAGGCTCCAAAAAAGATCAAATAATAAAAACAATAATCAGTAAAAATAATAAAATAAAAAAACATATTAAAAATAGCAATAATTACAGTAATTAATATAATAACAATATAACTTCTAATATATCTGGTAATAAGGCACTAAAATAAAATTTGGACTTGGAGGAATTGGCGCATAGGACACAAAAATAAATGACAACAACAATAGGCCTACTACTACTAATAATAATAAGATAGTTTTTTAACAACTCTTTTTTTAAGCATCAAAATCGGGATTTCTTAGAGTAAAGTTCTGCAGACTTCATCATCAGGCATCTCAGTAAAATACAGAACAAAGCTTTAGTGTCATGCAGGCGGTGTTGCAACACTTTGTGAAATAGTGTTTAAGTAGAAATAATAAAAGGTAAAGCCCTACACTGCAGACTGAGTTTCTGCATTCACTATTTATGGTGAGTAAACACTGATCCTCATCGGTCTCAGCACAGAATCTGTGATCTTATCTTTATGATTTAGTCAAATATTCCTTTCTTCTCAGGTTCATGTTTATAACTTAACATAAAATTCTTCTTTGTCATCAAATAATTCAATTCAGTTTCTTTATGGCTCCGATTCATCTGGAGGCTCTCTACCGAGAGTAATTATTCTAATTGTATTTTGATGATTTTAATTTCTTTTAAATTTCTCCACTTTGCAAAGGATAATTTAAAGCTTGGTTGTGAAAAATAGCCTGAAATAGTAAACTTTTATCCAATCTATCCAACATATTGGTCCTGAATGTTTCAGAGGAAAGGCCTGTCTGTAGCCTAAATATGGCTTTTTTTACAAAATAAAAACTTGGATCCAGTTTGCCTTTGGAGCATCCGTCTGAGTATTAGTGTGTTTATCCCTGAGTGGATCAGGCTGGAAGAAGCACAACAATAAGTCTGAAGAGCTGAAGTCTAAACAGTGAACTGGTTTATGGTGAACTGGGTTCATCTCTGTGTGATCAGATAAAACTTCACAATTAAAGGAAGAGGGGGAAACGCTCTGAAGCTTCCAACATGACAAAGGTCTGCTTAGATTCAGAATGGAGCTTTTTCTTGCTTTGTTTTGTGTTTTTTCTAGAAACGGGCCTTTAAGGCTGGCCTGTGACGTTCTTCTTCTTAAATCCTGACATTAGTAAAATGGGAGGCATCTCTGCCTGATAATGAGCAGCTCTGCTCAGAGTTTGGTGCCGTTCTCTGTTGCTGATCCTCTGCCACCCAGTCTGCTGTTGTAATACGAGCCATATGTTCACTGTGGGCCGAAGCCAGGGCCGCTCAGGACACAGTGTCAGCAGCCGCGGGCCCTGGGGCCCCCGCCATCATTTCACTAAAGCCCTCAGTCTCTTTTCTCTCCACTCACTCCTTATGGAGGAAAATGTCGCCCACAATACGGCGGCCTTCAGCCTCTTTCTTCCCCACGTCTTTCATGGCCCACTAGAAAGCCAAGAACGGGGCCCCAGGGCCACTAAGGCCCTTTGATAGGGATTGGAATTAATTATCTCCAATAACACAATTGTGCTCGGTCAACGAAAAGAGCAAAGAAATCCCCTCCAGAATCAGAAAGATGAGAAGAGTGAGGGAGAGAGAGAGCCCCTGCTTTTCCATTAAAATAATTCAGAGGAAGTTTATTAGAGCTTTGTGAGGTGCTAATATGGATCAGCCGGGAGGTTGGTGGTCCTGGGAGGGGGAGGGGAGGGACGTGTAATTGGCAGAGGCTCACAGGTCATTCTGCTTCAGTTTGGAGAAAAAAAGTAATTGAAGGTTTGAACTAAATCAGTCGGTATACCGAGAACTCATCATCAGTTCAACGGTAATCAGCAGGTTCTCCTCAAACCGACGAGCTTCTTGGTTTTCACAGTTTTTTATAAACAACTTTTAACCAGCAAGAAAGCTGCAGCTGTGCGGCAACGAGGACTGATTCAGAGCCCAACATTCAGCTTATTATGCTGGAAGCTCCAGTCTGGCTGCAAGCTAATAGCTTTACCTGCAGGAAAACTCAATGGATCAGTATTTATACCTAAAACTAATACGTCTGTGGTGATTTAATGAATTTAGCGCTAACCAGGAAAAAAATAAAACTACCATTTTCATTGCGATCACTGAGTCTTGGAGCGGCCATTTTTGCCTAAAATTTTCGGCAGTGACGTCACGGTGCGGTAGCAAATGTAGCCAACATTTGGAAGAAGAATGTTTTCAAGATGACTTGGATAATAGCGCGCTGTGACAAACGCCAGATACAGCACTGGGACTTGATCAACAGCCGATACCGCACCGTGACGTCACAAACCTGTAGGTGGCAGAAGTGTTCTTTGACAAACATGTATACCTCCAGTCAAGCACATTCAAATGAAAATCACTCTGAATTAAAAACATTCGTCATTTATTGAACAGTATGGAATAATTTCAGATTTAAAGTACTTTCATAAGTTTGAATTCTGAATATGAGCAGACCTTTCCTTTAAACATCTCTAAAAACTGAATCGCAGTACGTTTTGAAATAAAAGAATTAGAAAAAAACAAAAAAGATTCAAACTTAGTCCAAACTAAGAAACGTTATAAAGACCCCAGACCTGCAGATCCATGACCTCTAGTGGCCCCTGACCCAACGTTGGCGAGCAGAGATCTAAAGAACCAATAGCTGAAGAAAAAGACACAAGTTTAGGACAGCATCAGTGGATCAAACATTAAGAAACACCTCATTCCTGCATTAAACTTGAGGCAGGGCCGGATTTAGGAAATTTGGGGCCAAGGCAAAGACAGGCAGGGGGGCCTCTGAATTAAAATGACAACAGATAAAAAGACCCATTATACAGATAGAGAAATGTGAATAGAAAATATTTCATTACTTGTTCTAGGGGTTGCTCAGTGGCACAGTGGGTAGCACTGCTGTCTGTGTTGCTCTATCTGTGTTGCCCTGCGATGAACTGGCGACCTGTCCAGGGTGGACCCCGCCTCTAGCCCGTAGACAGCTGGAGATGGGCACCGGGACTCGACTTAGGATTAAGCATGCCAGAAAATGGATCGATGGATATATTTGTTCTAGGTTTCGTCCCTTTTCTTGATGTTTTCCTCTTCAGTGTTTTGGTTTCATTCCAGCCTCTCCTCCCTTACACTGATTTAAAAATGTATGTTTCCATCTGATAGGAATGTGAGGAGGAGGAAGTTGTGCTGATCCGTTTCCTTCTCTAGCTTCAAACCTCCTCGGTCAGTCGATCCCATCCTGAACTTCAGGTGATGAAGAGATTCATGAAGTTCAGGAGAACTTTAGGTCGCCTACAGAAGGGCTGCTTTAATGAAGACATCGAGGAGACAGGATTTCCTTTAGCTGGGATCACCCCCCCCCCCCCCCCCCCCCAACTACAGGCTGGTTGCCATGGCGACAACAGACCACTTGTCGACTTGGGTGTCCTGGTCTTAATCCTGCAGCCGTTAATCTGCTTGTTCATAAGAAAGACTTAGTTTGTTGGAGCTCCAACTTCTGATGCCACCTGGGAGTGTATGTGTGTGTGTGTGTGTGTGGGGGGGGGGGGGGGGGGGGACTCTGAAATGACATTCAGGAGAAACAAAGACCATGAGAACGTTGCAGTCCTGCCATCTTCAGCTCCTCTGCCTCCTCATGACCACCAGCTGGACGGTCAGCGGCCTCAGATTGGCGCTGAAGCGGGTCTAAATGAAGACGCCTCCTCAGAGCATAGAAAGGAGCTCCAGTTGGCCAAGTATAGCGCCTCCTACGGGCAGCAACGGATGGACCTAATGAGGACAATGGGCTGAGATGGATCCTTCCATTAAGGCCAAATATGGAGCCTTAAATTCATATTTTAGGATCCCTCCAGGTTCCATCACTGTTAGCTTTTACCAATTTATAATATTATGAAGTTGTGTATGTGTGTGTGTGTGTGTGTGTGTGTGTGTGGGGGGGGGGGGTTTGCAGAGAGCCGCCTCCAGCTCTGCAGATAAAAGCTGTGATCATTGAGGTTGAAATTTAGACACAAAAAATGTCCAAGGAACCGATCAGTTATAGTTACTGTGCTGACAGGTGTCAACATAAGAAGGTTCTGAACAGGGGCCTATGGCCCCCAGTGGCCCCTGTTCAGAACCACAGATTAAACATTTATCAGTTTCATTCAGTCATACTGACATTATTATTTTTATTATATTATTATTTCTAATGTTCATTAGTGAAATCTGTCTCAGTGATAATAACCCTAGGATGCTAAATCAGGTGGCCTACTTTAAACCCTGAGATGAAATTGTTGGGATCATTACTATAGATGATGTGTGAGATGGATGTCTCCTCATCTGCTAACATCTATGATGTAATGATGTGTCGGACTGGAGGTTTTTTTAACTGTAATTCTGGGCCAACTTTATTGAGAGGTGAGCCCGGTTGGTAGAGCAGCCTTTTGTAACTCTAAGCAACGTCTCTGATCTGAGTAGGATCACTGTTTTCATGTTTTCTGGTTATTTAGTGTGATTGCTCTGAGTGATCTCTGCTCTGGAGGGAGAAAGCTTCACTGTGGAAACACAGAGCTTTGCTTAACCTAATGGATAACCTTTAAAGGGAAAGTCCGCTCATGTAAAGAATTCAAACTTCTGAAAGTACTTTAAATCAGAAATTATTACATACTGTTCAATAAATTAGTGTTTTTAATTCAGAGTAATTTTCATGTGAATGTGCTTTACTGGAGGCATCCATGTTTGTCAAAGAACACTACTGCCACCTACTGGTTTGTGACGTCACGGTGCGGTATCGGCTGTTGATCAAGTCCCAGTGCTGTGTCTGGTGTTTGTCACAACGCGCTATTATCCAAGTCATCTTGAAAACATTCTTCTTCCAAATGTTGGCTACATATTACGTGTTTTTTCTCTGGCCAGAGGTTTGATCGCAAATCCTCCGTCTTCAAGTTGGCAATCCAACGATGAACCCGTCAGTGGCGGATCAGGAATCGGAAAGGTGAACTAACTTTTTTTTTTTTACTATTACCCGATGATTCTAACATCCAACTGCCATGCACCTGGACATTGTCAGTTTCACTATAGCTCTGGTGAATTTCAATGGTGAAGTCCTCTGGAAATCTTCAATAATTGTTGCAGGGTCCCTACAGCATAAGGCAATTTAAATTTTTTAAGACTTTTTAATGCCACTTGAAATAAAAATTTAAGACCAAATTCACAAGAAAAACCTGCTTGCGACAACTTAACCCAAGGGTTTATTTTAACATAAACCACTGCACTAATGTTTCAAATTTTGAAAAACTTCCCACACAGAAAGAAAGCTAAAAACACAAAAATGACAGATATATTTTAACAATTATTTAACTGAATTCACAAACTTTGTTTTAGCAGGGAACAAAACTAATCAGTTTTAAAGCCACAACATAACCAGTACTAAGTCTTTTTTGCAAAAAAAGGTCAATTTTAATGTTTTATTTAGATTACAAAAATAAATCATAATAAAAATAATTCTATTTATGATGTTTTAAAAATTAAGACCTACGAAAGACTAATTTAAGACATTTTAATACCAATTAAGGCCTTAGTTTTATTTTGAAGAATTCAATGCCTTTTAAGACTTTTTAAGGACCCGTGGGAACCCTGTGTTGTTGATTGCAGATGTGTCTAGTTGTTCCCATTGATTTTGCTTGTAAAGCGGGAAGAACAGATAACTCTAAATTAATTAAATCACCACAAACGTATTAGTTTTAGGTATAAATAATGACCCATTGATTATTCCTTGCTGACCAGACTTTTTCTTTGAACACGGTTCTTTATCCTTATTTGCCAACATAAAAAAATGAAAGTTAATCCTCAGGTCTGTGCATCTATTCCTAATCCTAATCTAACCTGGCCGGTTCATCCCCTCTCCTGATCTGAACAGTGGTAGACTTTTTTAAACTCTCTTTTTGCATTTTCGGGACCGCCTTGATGCGTCCTAATTTTAAAGGTGGCTGCGTCCCGCCGCTGGTCCTTGTGCCTCGGTTTGGGTCACGAGTGGGTTCTGGTGTTTTCTGTTCGGAGTCTCTGCTCTACTTCTATTTCACATTGATGCTGACCTGAAGAAACAAACAAACCTTCAATCGTTTTTATTTATAAGCACCAGAACAATCAGAAACTTTAAAGCACTAAATCAAATGAAATAAGAACAGCTTTAGCAATACAAACTGATTCTCCCCCCCCATGGCGGTTGGTGCATTTTCTCCACAGAGGAAGACAGAAAGGACTTCCTGTATAGATGCTCAGTTTTCCTTTCCATCTAATACTTCCGCATCCCAAAGAAAAAAGTTGACGGGATGATGGATGCAGCAGCTGCTGCTGCAGGGTTCACAACGAAGAGGAAGATCTAGAAACCATCAGTCCATTTCCACAGATCTGAATGAAAAAGATGGATCAGATGACGGTGCGCAGACTTCCTGCTCCAACCTTCTTCCTCAGCACTTCCACCAGGCGCTCCAACCTGAGGAGGAAGAAGAGGATTTTAGTCAGAAATATAAACTGAGGAGGACCAGAGGTGTCAAGTAATGAAGTAAAAATACTCCATTATTTTCTTCCTACTTCTGACTTCTACTCATTACATTTTCACACAAGTATCTGTACTTTCTATTTCTTTCATTTTTCAAACAAACGTTACTCGTTACTCTTGGCTTCGGTTTAATGCAGAGATCACAGATTAGTCCGGATCCGGACCCACCTGCTGGCTAATCTGGACCTGATTTAAAACATTTATAAATGACCACATGTTGTTTGACGACAGTGCTTAACGTCACTTGCGCCGCTTCTGTTACCCTGAAATCCCACATCCTCCGTCTCCTCCCCACAGCACCCCGCAGTGCTCCAGACCTCCTGCTCAAAGCAAAGCCTACAGCCTTCGCTGTTCCTCCCGTATTGCTCCGCTCAGACTTATCTTCGGAGCTCGAGGAGAGCATGCGCTATATTATCATTAAAATCATAGGAGCAAAACATGCAAAAATTAACACTTAATTTAATATGACATATTAAAACAATCCCCATCAGCATCCAGCAGATGTGCAGTTTCTGATAGAGATGAGAAATCTGCTTCCTGGTCTGTTGAAGTACCAATAGCTTGCATCCTTTTAAATAAACGGTTTTTTGAAATATATGATTTGCAGTTACCGATCTGTTGTTACTATATTTTAATTTCCCAAACTGGATCTTCTCTCCGTTCTTTTTCCTGTTTGCTGCGATTGCAAAAGCAGATCTTGACCTGGCCGGACCGGAGCGGAGCCTGAACATTTAGAGGATGTTTGGCTCAACCTGCTGCTGTGAAGCAGGATTCTCCACCATGAACAGAATCAACAATAAATATGGATCCAGGCTCAAAATGAGCTCCTTGATATGTGCTTCAGAATGGCTTTGTCTCCATTAAACGCAAGTTTAAAGCCTTGCAGGGCAGCATAAAGCCCACTGCTCTCATTAAGACAGAAGAAAAGAAAAAGAGTCAGTCAGTTCAGGTGTTTGATAAAATATGTGAATCAGGAAATTGTCTTGATACCAAACCTAACGATTGTTGTTCTCTATTCTCTACTTCAAGAACAATTTAGATTTTAAAATGGAAAAACATTTTATAAATATTTTTTATATAAAAAGTCTATGTATAACATGGATGCATAAAAAACCTCATTTTATTTCAGTGTTAAATTCTGTTTAAAGTAACAGATCATTAAAAATGTCTCTGGAGCTTTACTGGTTGATGATTTTCTTTATTCAGACCAGCTGATTTTTAATTGGTTACCCCTGGTTTAATGTTTATAAATATTTATTTCAGGTCATGTGCTCAATCCAATGCAGATCATTGGCTCCACCCACATCTAGTGAAAACTAGTGTCATTGGATGAGTCATATAACGCAAACACTCATTGGTTAGCTAAAGGAAGTCATCAGAAGCAAGCAGGTGTTTTTCAAACTGTAAACGTGAATTGTCTATGCCATGCTACAATGTAGGATTCAGGAAAAGATGTTGAAATGTCTGAAAGGTCGGACACAGGCGAGAGATCGGGAGATGGAGATCATCAAGACCTCCCTCATCCTTGGCCCTATCTCAAAGAATTTTTAGAAATAGTCGAAAAATTGAGCTTTCAGTTCATATAATGGCATCTGGCTGTATTTTATTAAAGGTTAATTTATACTTTTATACTTTAAGTAGTTTTTGGAGCGCATTCTTTTTCACTTTTATTTGAAGTTGATACCTCAACTTTTACCAGTCTTTTTAAACTGAAGTATCTATGTGTGAACTTTTGACACCACTGAGGAGGACCCATCAGCTCCCACCTGTTCCATCCTCTTCCACCAGGTTAACGTGGCGCCATCAGCCTGCTCTGCTGATGGCGAGGTGGCGTTTCCCCCCATCATTTGAAATGAGAGGCTGCCGTGGGTCTGATGACCTTCTAACCAGACTGCTTCTCTCCTTTTCCTATTCAAATGAAACTCCTCATTTGTAATAAGCAGTAGATCCGACTCAGTCCTTCCCATCAGAGAACAAACATTCCTCTTCACAGCCCAGAAACTTGAAGGCCCCCCCCAGCCCCCCCGCTGGCAGCCAAATGACTAAAGAAAGCCGCTGGTTTGAGCCCAGAGGACGGCGCAGGACGCAGGCAGAGGACTTAAGCTGTTTTCATCACCAATCTCATCCCTTCATCTTCAGGTTGATGAGCTGAGCAGCAGAAGAAGATGATGACGTCACCTTCGATGGCAGCGGTTTCCTTTTTCAATCCAAATCTGAAGGCCTATTTCTTCCTGATCATGGCGGCTGCAGGCTCCCAGTTTGCTGAATGGGAATCATGGCAGCCAAATCTCCTTAGTCCCACATGCTTAACCAGCCTTTGAACATCTCCAGAGCCTCTGAGGGAAACTGTTGCTGCGGCGACTGTGGTGGCGAGATGAGCTGCTCCGTCCTCAGAGACCGTCCCTGCTAACACTGCTGGCAGTCTTTCCTTTAACATCACCTAACAACTAGTGGATCTCTGCATGGTTCAGCCAGAGCCGTGGGTCTCTGCAGCTCCCCTAGAGCGTCCAGGATCCTCTCCTTCTTTGACCAATGCTCTCCTCCTGTCAGGCTATGTGGACCTCCATGTCATGGTGGCCCAGCTCCAGAATATTATCTAGAACCAGAACCTCCTCTCTGATTGTCTGTCAGGTTCTTTAGTTCTGTAAAGGACCGGTTTGATCCAGTCAGGTGTTTTCTGTTTCCACCTGGTGGTACGGGGGAGTCATTAAATGTAATGAAGTCCGTTAGCAACTCCCCAAAATTGTAGGTGGCCGCAGACAGGAGGCCTCTGATTGGTCGAGTCTACATCCGCTCTACACTATGCGTATCTCCTGTTTGGTACCTAATGGCAGAAACTCTGGCTGTAGTGCCATCCACAACGCCTGTCAGACCTCGGACTCTATCCCAGACACCGTGCAGGACGCTAGTTTGTAGCTCTGTACAACGATCTGTTGGTTTGCACGCAAAGCCAAAACACGCAGCGCCACGGCCAGTCTTTGGGGAACACTCACGGGTGAACTGTGTGTCGTCCGGCGTTGGATGAGGGGTTGCAGACGACGAACAAGCTCGTCAAACCGACACCCACAATCCTAGCTAGTTCCTGATTGTCCCTCTGGTGTAGTGCAGTGGAACAACATAGCACAGACCACGCTTCAAAATTGGGCATAAATCAAAAATATCTGCATCATACCTGCGCCAAGCTAACTGCGAAGATTAGGCTGAGGCGGGTTCTAGTTCTGCTGGAAACTTCCAGTTTTTCTGACCTGCTCATCCAGAAGGACTGACTTCTGCAGGTCAGGGACTCGGTGCAATCAGGTGGGCCTCCCAGAGTCGCCCACATAGTCGGGCGTTCCTGCTGTCTGATTAGGTATGGTGACTGTCGCTGCCCCGCTCTGTGCTGCAGACACAGGTGTGCAACATGGATATACTGCAGTGCTTACTTTTTAGACTTCAATTCAAATCTATTCAGTTTATTTCTATAGCGCCAACTCACATCATGTCATCTTAAGGCACTTTCCAGTTCACCAGATCATCCAGACAGATTGAGTCAAAGTTTTCTAAGGAAAACCAGCTGATTGCATCAACTCATTGACTCTTCAGTAATCCCTCACACTATGCTTGTAGCGACAGTGGAGAGGAAAAACTCCCTTTGAACAGGAAGAAACCTCCAGCAGAACCAGGCTCAGTGTGAGCGGCCATCTTCTAAACTACTACAGCCTGAAGGCAATCAGAGATCATAAGTTGAGCGTGGATCGGTTCAGACACCCTCAAACCAACCCAAGATATGACTTCCTGCGTACATACAGTACCGCCTGTATGGGAACCTTTAGTCCAACTGTGTTGATGTTAGTTGGAATAGATCTGTCTGCAGGATTCTAACAAACCGACTCGTCTGTAAAATGCCTGAAGGTGATGTTTGTTCTGTTGATGGACGTCTTTCCAGGAACTAATCAGGCTGTTTTAGAAGCAGAAAATAAACTTTTTCAATTGGTAGTGAAGAAGTGAAGGAATTAGATACTGCTGGTTCCTCAGTTTAACAGAACTGTTGCGGTCTGAAGGGCCAAGGAGCTGCAGACGGGGTGGGGGGTCTTTGCAGGTAAGGGCTGCACAACATATATGGGTTTATTTGTTAGAAACAGAAACTGACCTGCGAACCCTCTCATCAGCTTCCCGCTCAGCCTCCTGGCTGCGCTGAAGCTCTGCCGCCGTGCTCTCCTTCTCTCTGGACAGCTGCTGCAGTTGGACCACCAGCGTCTGGACCTGAGAGGACAAGTCCTTCTGATCTGCAGAGACGTCAGCTGGAAGGGAATGCTGGGAGGATGCGAAGCCGGCCTGAGAGCTGATAGAGGAGATGGTGGAGGATTAGACTCCTGGTTAAAATAATGTTCACTTAACTCCATCTGTTAAAATGCGCTGAGTCAGCTGGATCCAAACAGGTTGGATTTATTATCACAGCGGCTCAGGAATGTTTCCAAATTCAGTGTGAAAACCTTTTAATTTTTACAAACACAAACTGTGTTTTTAAGGATCTGTAGATTGTTCTAACTCCCACCTTTAATCTGCAAGGAACAGTTTCCAATCAAACCTGATCATTAACGAGCTATTTTTGATTTTCTGTGGCACCATTTTACTCGGTAAATATATTTCTAGAGGTGCTATTGACGTGACCTTTTCACCAGATGTTGGTAACAATCCATGCAGTCCACACATACAAAGAAATCAAACCACAGATGTCCAGAAATGGAGTTATGTGTAATAACTTGGATTGAAAAAGGCATGGAAATCAGCAGCCCGAAATCTGTCAGGAATTAGGAAGCAATCCTGCCCCTTATCAGAGCAGATTAATATCGGATGTTCCAGGCCCACATTATGGTCTATAAAAAGGTGTCTCTGATATCACTAAAGAAACATATCACAATGTTTCTGAACATCAATGGGTTGGTTTCTTTGTCTGTGCGGATTTCATGGGTTATTACCAACATCTGACTGTTTAATGCTACGTTCAGACCACAGGGGCTGGAAGCAGCAAAAACGCTTCTGCTGCTTATTTCTCTGTGGGAGCCGCTCATACCCCTACATACTGGTGGTGCGCTGTCACTGGGAATCCCCAGCAGCAGCTGCCTCAGGCCCGGTCACCTCTTCAGGTTTTCCGCTACTGTTCCTGGCGGCTGGAAGTAGATGTTAGCATTTTTCACATACGTAAGCCAAACTGCAGGCACCAGGATAATAAAAGCAAACATATTCTGCTGGCAGGTTTCAAGTTTATTTAGGCGTTAATAAAGTATTTCAGGGAGTGAGCATAGCACTCTGCATCAGCAGTGCTGTGTCTGTCTCCCTGCCAGCTCCCAGATCAGCTTCTCTGATTGGTTGATGTGGAGCGTCCAATTCCAGCATCTCCTATTTCTGTAGCACGTCAAAGGCTCAGAAGCTCATGAGGTGCTTCAGCTGCTTCGATGTATATATATATATATATATATATATATATATATATATATATATATATATATATATATATATATATATATATATATATAGGGTAGCCACGTTTAACGAGGGTAGCCACGTTAAATGAGGGTAGCCATGTTTAATGAGGGCAGCCACGTTAAATGAGTGTAGCCACATTATATGAGGGTAGCCACGTTAAATGATGGTAGCCATGTTTATTGAGGGCAGCCAAGTTGAATGAGGGTAACCACGTTTAACGAGGGTAGCCACGTTTAACGAGAGTAGCCACGTTTAATCAGGGTAGCCACGTTTAATGAGGGTAGCCACGTTAAATGAGGGTAGCCACGTTTAATGAGGGTAGCCACATTATAAGAGGGTAGCCACGTTAAATTAGTTTAGTCACTATAAATGAGGGCAGCCATGTTAAATGAGGGTAGCCACATTACATGAGGGTAGCCACGTTACATGAGGGTAGCCACGTTACATGAGGGTAGCCGCGTTAAATGAGGGTAGCCACGTTAAATGAGGGTAGCCATGTTAAATGAGGGTAGACATATTAAGTTAGAGCAGCCATATTAAATTAGGGCTGCAACGTTAAATTAGGTTAGCCACGTTAAATGAGGGTAGCCATGTTTAATGAGGGCAGCCACGTTAAATGAGGGTAGCCAAGTTTAATGAGGGTAGCCACGTTTAATGAGGGCAGCCACGTTTAATGAGAGTAGCAACGTTAATTGAGGGTAGCCACGTTAAATGAGGGTAGCCACGTTAAATGAGGGTAGCCACGTTAAATGAGGGTAGCCACGTTAAATGAGGGTAGCCATGTTAAATGAGGGTAGACATATTAAATTAGAGCAGCCATATTAAATTAGGGCTGCAACGTTAAATTAGGTTAGCCACGTTAAATGAGGGTAGCCATGTTTAATGAGGGCAGCCACGTTAAATGAGGGTAGCCACGTTTAATGAGGGTAGCCACGTTTAATGAGGGCAGCCACGTTTAATGAGAGTAGCAACGTTAATTGAGGGTAGCCACGTTAAATGAGGGTAGCCACGTTAAATGAGGGTAGCCACGTTAAATGAGGGTAGCCATGTTAAATGAGGGCAGACATATTAAATTAGAGCAGCCATATTAAATTAGGGCTGCAACGTTAAATTAGGTTAGCCACGTTAAATGAGGGTAGCCATGTTTAATGAGGGCAGCCACGTTAAATGAGGGTAGCCAAGTTCAATGAGGGTAGCCACGTTTAATGAGGGTAGCCACGTTTAATGAGGGCAGCCACGTTTAATGAGGGCAGCCACGTTTAATGAGAGTAGCAACGTTAATTGAGGGTAGCCACGTTAAATGAGGGTAGCCACGTTAAATGAGGGTAGCCACGTTAAATGAGGGTAGCCATGTTAAATGAGGGTAGACATATTAAATTAGAGCAGCCATATTAAATTAGGGCTGCAACGTTAAATTAGGTTAGCCACGTTAAATGAGGGTAGCCATGTTTAATGAGGGCAGCCACGTTAAATGAGGGTAGCCAAGTTTAATGAGGGTAGCCACGTTTAATGAGGGCAGCCACGTTTAATGAGGGCAGCCACGTTTAATGAGAGTAGCAACGTTAATTGAGGGTAGCCACGTTAAATGAGGGTAGCCATGTTTAATGAGGGCAGCCATGTTAAATGAGGGTAGCCACGTTTAATGAGGTACTAGCCACGTTAAATTAGGGTAGCTACGTTAAATGAGGGTAGCCACGTTAAATGAGGTACTAGCCAGGTTAAATGAGGGTAGCTACGTTAAATGAGGGTAGCCTGGTTAAATGAGGGCAGCCCGGTTAAATGAGGGTAGCCCGGTTAAATGAGTGTAGCCACGTTAAATGAGGGTAGCCACGTTAAATTATGGTAGCAACGTTAAGTTTGGTTAGAAATGTTTAATGAGGGCAGACGTATTAAATGAGGTTAGCCAAGTTTAATGAAGGCAGCCAATGTTTAGTGAGGGTAGCCAAGTTTAGCGAGGGTAGCCATGTTAAATGAGAACAGACATTTTTAATGAGGGCAGCAATGTTTAATGAGGGCAGCCATGTTTAATAAGGGCAACCATTTTTAATGAGGGCACTAATGGAACAAATCTTGTATAGATGAAAATCATAAAGAAGTTGTGAGCCTTTATTTTGTTTAAGTCAGCTGAAAGTGAAAACAACATGTCTCCCTCCTCTGCTGCTGCTTTCGGCTGCCTCTTCAGGTGTCTCTGCAGGAATTCAGAATCAATCCCAGTAATTTATGGAGGCTCACATTTTCATCAGAATAGATGGACTTGCCTCTCATCTTTATTCCATTTCACTTTGCTGCAGCTGTTTTACTCAGAACTGGACTCAGACCCCTCCAGGAAATCCTCGCACTGATCTTAAAGCCTAAATCACCCCTCTCTGGTGGCTCAAATCTGCCTCATAAGGTCTTATCTAATTACTGTTTACCACGCTCTGTTTACTCCTGTTATTATTCTACAGGTTGCCCAGACTCCTCTCTGATTACGGGACACCAGTCCAACATCTCTGGATGCATTTGGACAGAGATTAAGGAAAACCTTGGACTTGTCCCACAACATTTGAGCTGCTGTGTTGCCCTTTTTTAAATAGGATATTATTTACTGTGCTGAGATAAACTGTTTTCCTTCCTTTAACATTTTGTAAAAACAGATGAGTCTTTAAAATCACTCAGGAGGAATTTAATGAATTAGTTCATTTAGACACATTGGAGGGATTCTGAGCTTAAACAGCTGATTTAAAGTCATCAACCTGATTCTCAATCTGGACTTTGAATAGACCAGATATATTTATGTTGTTTAATCCTTTCAGATGCTTAGGATGATTCTCCTATTGCCAGATGAGCCTGAGCTTCAGGTCACACACTGGAAGAGGGCTGATATTTTACCATCAACCCGTAAGCTATTCCAGTAAAGCATCACACCACCACTTCTTTGCATGGCTGAAGGTATGGAATGTTTCTTGTTTAAAATCTAATCTTTGTTTTCTGTCTAGATGTTGGAGCTTGACCTGTTTTTTTTTGTCCTGTTTTTCTGACTGTGACTAACGGGATGTGTTCTCTTCCTCCTCTGACATGGGAGCTGGCTCGGAGCTCGTCTGCCTGTCTGTGTGTTTCCTGGACGGGGCCACCTGTGGAGCTGGTTGACAGTTGCCTTTTGTATCTATGCTTCTTTTTCTATGTCTGCTTCTGTCTCCTTGAACCCCAGTCGGCCTCGGCAGATGGCCGCTCACACTGAGCCTGGTTCTGCTGGAGGTTTCTTCCTGTTAAAAGGGAGTTTTCCTCTCCACTGTCACTACAAGCATGCTTAGTGTGAGGGATTGCTGAAGAGTCAATGACAAGCAAGCAAATTGGATGCATTCAACCAATTTGACTGTGTTGTCTCTCTAAAATCCCTTGAGATGGTGTGTTGTGAGTTTACTCTATATAAATGAACTGAAATGATTATTTTACTTTGCCAACTGATTATGACTTTTCTTTCAACGAGCTGGGACTTGAACAAGCAACCCTTTAGATTTGGACTAGATTTTAGATTAATAAGGTAGAATTCTGTAATTTTTTTATATTAGATCGAGCACATCTGGGGCTGAGTGACAATCCAAATGAACCATCAGAACGATTTTAAAGTAGGTAAACTAACTGTCAAGGAAGGAAAGGAAAAATTCTACAAAAATAAAATGGAAAAACAAAAATTTTTTTTCCCTAAATGATTAAAAACAAGCTTAGTCAGTTTAATGTTGCCTGCATACATGAGGTCATAGCAGAACTGCAGAGTCCATGTAGTGACAGACTGCTGCCCCCTTGGTGCACAAAGGGGAGCTGCAAATCCTTCCCTCTTTCCAGCTGCTGTTAGATATTATTACATTCTATACTAGAAGCTGGAAGTTTTCTCTCTGTGAGCTATGAGAACAAGATGACGTCACTTCTCTCAGTCTCGGATTCTCGCTCGTTTTCGACACATACTACTGGGCAGAACTGTTTTCACAGTGTGTCCAAGAACAGCTTAGATAACTTTCCTCTCTTGTTTTTCGGTCCGACAATATAATAGGTACAGAAATCTGTTCAGTGATCTAAATTATAGAATTGCACTTCTAAAGGTAGCTGCACGTTCAAGCAGCTCTGCTAGCTTGATTCTGATGTTCTTGCTTATTAGAACCATTGTTTCTCTGTTTGTAGATTCGAGTTTCTTTTCTTTTTTTCTTTTGGTGTTGAATGCTATGAAACTGGATAGGTTTTTGTGAATATTTTTCCTTTTTGGATACTTGTTAGGATGTGTAACCATGGCAACCACAGCAAGTTGATTTTTACACCTTGGAGCAGCTCATGAACATCTCTAAAGCTAAAATACATAAACTACTTCCAGAAGTACCAGCGGATTTGAAAAGGATGCACCGGGGATGCGGAGCAGAAGCAAAAATAAGAGAGAGGAAGAAATCTCTTCTGTCAATCATCACGGGCAATGTGAGATTTTAGGGAACAACTTAGAAGAACTCCTGGCCCTAGCAAGGACCCGTCCAGAATATCATTAATGCAGGATTATGTGTTTTACTGAAACGTGGCTGCAGGATCAAATCTCAGACTACAGCCTTTCTCTGCAAAGATTTCTGACCATAACGAGCAAACAGAGATTTAAACAAGACGGGGGAAATTTAAAGGAGGTGGATTGGCAGTGCTTGTGAACAACAGATGGTGTCACCCAGGACATATTACTGTGAAGATTCATCACTGCTGGCAGTTGGTTTTGCCATATTGTTTACCCAAAGAGTTTACCAGTGTTGTCTTGGTAATTATTTATATTCCACCTTGCTGTTGCCCACACTGGATTTAATGTAATCTATTCTGTTGTTACTAAAGCTGGGCATACACTGTACAATTTTTGACCAGCTCTCGGGCCAATTCTCCTGCCGTGTGAGAATTTTCCGATCGGGCCGACTTTCAGTCTGATGGTGCGTTGTGTAGTATACTGGGGATAACGAGGGGCGATCAGCCTCTAATGACCAACTCCCGATCAGGAATCGAAAAAACTGCAGGATTGTATCATACACCTACAGCATAAGGCAAGTTAAATTCAAGACTTTTTAATGCTACTTGAAATAAAAATTTAAGACCAAATTCACAAGAAACACAAGAAAAACCTGCTTGCGACAACTTAACCCAAAGGTTTATTTTAACATAAACCACTGCACTAATGTTTCAGATTTTGAAAAGCTTCCCATACAGGAAGAAAGCTAAAAACACACAAATGACAGATATATTTTAACAATTATTTAACTGAATTCACAAACTTTGTTTTAGCAGGGAACAAAACAAATCAGTTTTAAAGCCCCAACATAACCAGTACTAAGTCTTTTTTGCAGCTATTTTTCTTTGTATGGTTTTCTTAGTATGTTTGATTTGGTGATAAGTGGAGGCGTTGCAGAGACAAGGGTGGAACTAAACTGAGAAATACCGGCTGTTTCTCGTTAACTCCATTTGGACCCTTTGTGTTTCGTGCTTCGCATGTGCGACTCCACTGCCTTAATTCCCATCGTTCCGAGCTTGAATTAGTACTTGCACAAAATCCACTGTGCCTCATGTATGTTCCCTGGTTTTAGCCATGGAGAAAACTCTTGGCTGGAGACAATTTTGGTTACATTTACACTTGCTCATATTTTCCAGGCAAAAAGTTAATGGTGCATCTCCCAAATGTTCCGGCCGCAACAATGCTTTATTGGTTCCGCTATCGGGACGGAACCAATAATGGCGAGCTGTTATTATTTTTTTTTTTATAAAAAAAAATGTCAATTTTAACGTTTTATTAAGATTACAAAAAGAAATCGTAATAAAAATAATCCTATTTATGATGTTTTAAAAATTAAGACCTACGAAAGACTGATTTAAGACATTTTAATACCAATTAATGCCTTAGTTTTATTTTGAAGAATTCAATGCCTTTTAAGACTTTTTAAGGACCCGCAGGAACCCTGCATACAGTGTGAGCTGTAGCTGCTTGCAACGATTGAAAGAAAGCTACAGAGTACCCCCGGCTTAAACTACAGGCAAAACAGCCAAATGCATTTGTGGCAAATTTTAATCCCACCTCACTCTCTGCTACGCTGGCAACAGAGAAAACAAAACTTTGGACTTGTTTTATGCAAATGTCAAGGACCCAAAATCTTTTTTTTTTCTCTGCTCAGGTTATAAGCCACTTTATAAGAAACAACCTGCATTAAAAAGAACTGTATAGAAATGTTCACAGGAAGCTGAAGAAGCCCTGCAAGGTTGATCAGAGGCTGTGTAGATAAAACCATCCCTACCAGAACACGGAAATGCTTCCCAAATAATAAACCATGGATCACAGGTGATCTGAAGGAACTGTTCAACAAGAAAAAAAGAAGCCTTTAAGAAGGAAGACAGGGAACTAATGAGGAGTATACAGAAGAAATTTAAGGTCAAGATCAGAGAAAGCAAGGAGGCATAGATGAAAAGGCTGAAAAACAAGCTCCAGTGCAACAATAGAGACAGTCAGAGGCTTCTCCAGATCCAGTGCAAGACAGGCCTCTACAGGAGATCCTTCAAGCCAACAGCATCAAGGCCGACAAAAACTCTGTCAGTTACTGCAACATTTAATTTCCCCTTTGGGTTAATAAAGTAACTTTGAATTGAGTTGAACTGAATTATGGGATAGATAGTCTGAGGACCAGGTGACAGAGGGAAAAAGGGAATGGAAAGGACTTTGCTCTCGTACTCAATCCTAAAACTGTCCCCTGGGACTTCATACTGCTGTTGTTGTGTTTTCTTTTGCACGTGTGAGATTAGCTACAGAAATGAGACAAATTCAGCAGCTGAATTTCTTGTCAAGTTTTAATAAACCAACTTTTTTCCTTTTCTTTTCTCCTCATCATGAACAAGAAGACATTTCTCACTTCCTTCAGGTTATTCAACAAGCTGCTCCCAGCTGTTAATGTTGGTAGCATAAAATGTGAGGTGAACCATTTATTTCTAATCCATAAGTGCTTCTATACATAAATGCAGTTATTTGCACTGCATTTGTGTTTATTTTTAACTTTTCTGATTGCTGATCTTCATTAAATTCTATTCTTGTGTGATTCTGTTATTCAAAGCTACAACTACACCTTAAACAGCATGTTTGTACTTTAACATTTGGAAAAATCAATGTTTAGCGTCTTCTGTTCTATTCTATTTCATTCTATTATATTCCTTTCTATACTGTATGTAGAAATGTGGTTTTAAGGTCTAAAGATCATTGGTTTCTGCCAACCCTTTATAAGCAGAGATGATACCTGGAGTAAAGGGATATTTTGCTGCTTTAATTAGTGTTTTAATTGGTTTGGGGATTTCTGTTGTTATGTGGAGGCATCAGGATGATATTTAGAGACCTGAGAAGTTGAAGTTTAACTCTGAAGACACAGAGCAGAGAGGAAATATGGAAGCAAAGAATCAGGAGCCGATGCGCTCAGTGGAAACAGGGACAGATGGGTGGACTACCAGCCATTAGCTGTATTGTTTGGTCAGACACCCTCAGTTTGGTCTTGTTAGTCTATAGACTGAATTTTTGTTTGCATTTATATAATTTGAGCAGATAGATCGAAGAGAAGCAGAAACAATCTGAGAAAAGCAGTTTCATATGTTTCCTAAAGGTGGACTTGGTGATGGCGGCTAACCTGGGATCAGCTAGTAATGCTTGGATTTGGGCCTCAAGCTGACGTTGTTGGTCCAGAGCTTCATCTCTCTCCTTCTGCAGCCTCAGCAGCTCCTCCTAATTAAAAAAACAAAAACACAACAGTCACCTCTGATAGCAGTCAGGTCTGGATGAGCAGCAGAAAGAACAAACAATAATCCTCAGCACCGGAGTTTAAACTGCTAATGCTTTAATTAAACGACGACTTTTCAGTACGATGAACTGAGTGAATAATACATAAAAATGTATGTCAGGGATTTAAGATGTAGAACAACACTTGACAGAGTGTCTGTTTGTGCTTGTAATATGGAGACCCAGCAGGCAGAATGGAGATCAGGTTCTGGATAACACTGGAACGGAGTGTTTAAATAAAGGCTTCATTAATTCACTAACAGCCTAATTAATGAACATAAATGTCAACACACCTTATGATGAGGATTTATTTTACATCAGCTCCAACGTTACTACAGGCCTGAACCAAAGGCCTGTCATTTAAATCCCATATCAAAGAGGTTTCTAGAAATTCCTTCTTTCATCTGAGGAACATTGCAAAAATGAGAAATCTCCTGTCCAGGAGTGATGCTGAGAAACTAGTCCATGCATTTGTTACTTCAAGGCTGGACTATTGTAATTCTTTACTATCAGGAAGTCCACAAACTGTAGTTAAAAGCCTTCAGCTGATCCAAAATACTGCAGCCAGAGTTCTGATAAAAATTAAAAAGTGAGATCATACCTCTCCTATCCTGGCTTCTCTTCATTGGCTTCCTGTTGAATCCAGAATAGAATTTAAAATCCTCCTTCTCACATATAAAGCCTTAAATGGCCAAGCTCCATCTGATATCAGAGATCTGATTGTTCCTTATGTTCCTAACAGAGCACTTCGCTCTCAATCTGCAGGTTTACTAGTGGTTCCTAGAACTTCTAAAAGTAGAATGGGAGGCAGATCTTTTAGTTATCAGGCTCCTCTCCTGAGGAACCAACTACCAGTTTTAGTCTGTGAGGCAGACACCCTGTCTACTTTTAAGGCTAGACTTAAAACTTTCCTTTTTGATAAAGCTTATAGTTAGAGTGTCTCAGGTTATCCTGAGCTATCTCTATAGTTATGCTGCTATAGACTTAGACTGCTGGAGGACATAGGGACCCCTTTTTCAATATTCTGCTTCATTCTATCTCTATTCTCCCACTCTGCAGAATCTGTTAGTTCAATCTCTAACGTTCTGCTCACTCTGCTTTTTCTCATAGTAGCTTCATCTGGTCTGTTCCTGTTTGGCTGTGACTCCATCCTGGAGAGAAATATCAGCTGTGGATATTATGTTATCCTTATACATTTTTCTAAGGTCCACATTTGTGTGGCCATTTTTTGTATAATCATTTTGCTGCTGTAAACACCAGAATTTACCAATTGAGGGACAATAAATGGATTTTCTATTCTATTCTATCTAAATGTTGGAGCTCGGCCTTGACTGAAAACTGGCAGACCCTCCTATCGAGCTAGTTTATTGTTGACTTTTCTAACATAGAAAGTGTTTATAGATCAGTGCTTCTGTATTATTTTTGTTAGTCTGCTTCCGTCTCCTTGAACCCCAGTCAGCCTCAGCAGATGGTCGCTCACACTGAGCCTGGTTCTGCTGGAGGTTTCTTCCTGTTCAAAGGGAGTTTTTTCCTCTCCACTGTCGCTACAAGCATGCTTAGTGTGAGGGATTGCTGAAGAGTCGAAGAGTCGATGCAATCAGCTGGTTTTCCTTAGATAGAACCTTTGAACCTTTAATCTGATTGTGATGATCTGGTTGATCTAAAAAGTGACCTGAGATGATATGATGCTTAAAAGAATCATGAATGCCAGATGTTACCAGCGTGATTTAACATATTTTTATTTTTAGATCAGGATCAAACATTGAGTGAGCTGGAAACCAGAACAGATGGTGTTGTTTGGGCATCTGTCCAGCACCAGAACCAGTACAGTCTGTTTACCATTACTGAATTCCTACAGGTTCCCCACACCGGCTGCCTCCTGCCTATTCCAAGACCCCGTGTCTCACCGTCTTTGGTAAAACTCTGTTAAGGCTGACTCCAGCAGGGATTACAGGCCTGACCCTCGCCTCCTCCTCTGCCTCCTGCTCTATTCTAATTAAAGGCTCCAAGGTCTGAGAGTTTAAAGAGAGACATCAAAAGAGGAACCAAACCCAGAGAGTCAATATGTGTCTTTTCCAGCCGGGCCGGAGGACATGCTTCAAAAGGGCTGCCAGCCTTATTAATCAGAATAATTTCCAAATGAGGTGATCAGTAAGCAGGAGCGACACAGAGCTGACCTTTAGCATGAGGAGTTAAGGTCAACGACAGAAAGGAAGAGTGGTGGGAGGAGGTAATAAAACTACTGCGCTGGGACCTTTGACATGATGAGGGCAGATTATGGAGGCAGAGGAAAGATGGGGGAGGAGACTAAAACCAGAGGCTCTTTATTGGCCACGTTAGAGGCAGAGGAAGAGAGCAGGAGGCGAACTTAAAGAGGGAGGGAAGAAAGGGAACGTGCTCTGACCTTTAAAACAAACAGTGGAGGTGATCAGGAGCAGACATTAAAGGAGGAAGAGCTGATCCAAGAGAAGGAAATGAGGAGAGAATCAACTTAATATCATAAGCCTTTTTTATACATAATCAGCTCCAGACGTTCTGCAGAGTCTGACTCTCTCCTCAAAGTGAGTTTCCGAGAGCTACAGGTGTTTGAATATGATGGTACCTCAGTTTTTTTACTTAATGCTGTGACCCTGGGAACCCTCATATGATTGGCTCAGAAACCAGGAAGTAAATACAGGCTAAAGAGCTGCAGCGATGTAGTTCTGGATTGTACTTTCTAGGTTAGAGAGGAGAACTGGACCAGGGCGTTGTTGATAGGGAGCCTTACCTCCATCTCAGGGAGAAATTAGATGATTCTGCTACATTTAACTATTACATTTCTAACTAATTGCTCTGTTAACTGCTTCTCCCTCCAGCTTTGTTTTTTCCTTTCAGGGCTCGCCACAGGGACTCATCTAACTGCATCTTCTTCTGTCACACTAACATCTCCTTTAGTTCTCCTGCCTGGTAGCTCCAGCTGCTCCAGATGTTCTCCTCTGTCCACATCCTAACCCTCTCAGTCTGGCCTCTCCAGCTCAGCCTCTTCATCTCTATCTGCTCTCTCACCTCACCTTATCCCCCGAAAAACCTAAAATCTTTGTCCAACATGCTTGGAGTCACTTCTTTACATCATTTCCACACTTGCAGTTACACTGGACTGTTGACCCAAAGCACAGATCCTCTAACTATAATCAGAAATCGTGATTTCATTCTTCTGTGAGTTCAGTGGTCTCATGTGCATCAGGTACAGAAACTAAATCTGCTGAATCAGGTAAAAAAAAAAGGCTGCAGTCAACAGAATCTCTGTCCCTCTTCTCTGCTCCACCTCAGAGCATCGGCTCTTAACTTTATGAAATGTATGATCATCAAACTGCCTTAGTGTAGTTTGATGATGATGATGTGGGGAGTTGGAAACCGTTCAGAATGGCACCCAGACCAGACCTCTTCCTGAGGGTGCAGAGGAGGAGTTAACTCCCTCCACCTCTGCTGAAACACATCAGATGGTCCTGATCTTTGCAGGCAGGCTGAGGTCAGCAGCTGTGTACAGAAACAGCTGCAGCAGGGCTGACCAGAGGATCATTCTCTCACCCGTCTTCTCCAAAGGGGCCCAAACTTTCAGGAAGACCCAGAACTCTCTGGTCGCCATAATGGAGCCAAACCACTGCTGCAGGAAGGAACTCACTGCTACGTCCAATCTGACGGCTGCACAACGCTCTGCAGTCACATGAAAACCAACAGAGATGCTTCCAGAACTCGCCTTCCTCTATCCTTTATGCTGACGCTACATCTAGACTCTAAGGTTTAGATGTTTTTCTTTCCGTTTTCCTCTACAGTCCTTCAGCCTGACCAGCATCTGAATGCTGCTGCATTAAATGAAAGGTCCGCTCATATTCAGAATTCAAACTTCTGAAAGTACTTTAAATCAGAAATTATTCCAAACTGTTCAATAAATATAAGTGTTTTTAATTCAGGGTGATTTTCATGTGAATGTGCTTTACTGGAGGCACCCATGTTTGTCAAAGAACACTACTGCCACCTACTGGTTTGTGACGTCACGGTGCGGTATCGGCTGTTAATCAAGTCCCAGTGCTGTATCTGGTGTTTGTCACAACGCGCTATTATCCAAGTCATCTTTAAAACATTCTTCTTCCAAATGTTTTTTCTGGCCAGAAGTTCGATGGCAAATCCTCCCTCTTCCAGTTGGCAATCCAACGATGAACCCGTCCGTGGAGGATCAGGAATCAGAAAGGTGAAATAACTCTTTTTTTTTTCACTTTTACCCGATGTATTCCAACATCCAGCTGCCATGCACGTGGGCATTGTCAGTTTCACTATAGCTCTGGTGAATTTCAATGGTAGTTTACCATTGATTTTTCTTGTAAAGTGGGGAGAATGGCGCTAGGCTTACCGCACCGTGACGTCACTGCCGGAAGATGGCAGGAGGGAGGGGTTACTATATTTAGAACAAAAATGGCCGCTCCCAGACTCAAACTCAAACGTATTATAAATAAGGATCCTTTGATTATTCATTGCTGACCGGACTTCTCCTTTAATAACCTCACTGTCATCTTTAAAAGACAAACTAATAAACCTTTGGTTTCATTTAAAGTTACTGTAGTCTGGAGGTGGTGGGATGCCTTCCCGACAGCCTGCTAGGGGCCACAGCCTGCTAGGGTTGTAGGACATTTGCCCTTTGGGGCAAATGTCCTACAACCTTTAGGTGCTCTAAGCTTTATTCTTCTGCTGAAATGAGCCTGAATAAAAGTCATCTGATCGCTCCAGGATCTGAGGAGGAGGATCATCATCATCATGTTGATGGTCTGTGGCTTCATCTTTCATAACAGGGAAGGTTTATCCTTATGAATCTGAATTAAAGGAGAAATTTTCCTGAATGTTTCCATAAATTGTGCTCCTGTGATTGAATTTTACAGTGCGTATCATTTAAAGCATGCAGCAGAGCTCTGATGTCAGCATAGCTGCTGAAACTTTCATTACTTCATTAGCTGGAAAGTTTAGGTGAAAATCGGTTCAAAGGCCTGATTTAAACGTTCATCCAGAGACGCTGGTTTGTGATTCGGGTTGCAGGATTTTCAGCAGCTCACTGAGTGTCTGGCGCTAATTTGACGGCAGCTGCTGATGTTTCTGTGTGAAATTAAAATGCTCTCTCGGTTCTAATCCCCCCAGAGCCCAGCCTAATTAACAGGCTTGAGGGGGATACACAGAGCAGAGATACATTAATAACAAAATTTAATTTATTTCAGGAAAAAAGGGATGCAGAGATGCAAGAGAACATTTGTTAGCACAAAAAGATTCATTCTTCTCTTCTTGTCTGAGATTCCTTCTTCTTTACTGTGTTTTAGTCTTTGAGCTTTAAGCCTTAAGCAAAGAGACAGGTGCAGGGTTTTAGCAGGAAGCTAAACATGTTAGCCAGGATCATGCAGGCAGGTAGGAGATATCTGCACATAAAGGATCCATAAAACAGCCTGGATTCTCACTGTCTTTGGTAAAGTTTTTAGGACTGAAGATTTTATCTGGACAGAAATTAAAAATGTTTCTCTACGTCAGGGTTTCATCTGAGGACCCAGTCCTGCCTTTTAATTCATCTAATTATTTGGTGTGTGACCCATGTGCAGATGGTAAGCAGAGACAGAGCAGTGCTTTAGGATTCCATCTGTTAAACCTTCCCAAAGTTCACACTCCAGTCATTATGCTGTTGCTATAGTTATGCTGCTATAGGCTTAGACTGCTGGAGGACATAGGGACCCTTTTTCATCATTCTGCTTCATTCTATCTCTATTCTCCCACTGCAGAATCTGTTAGTTCAATCTCTAACGTTCTGCTCTCTCTGCTTTTTCTCATAGTAGCTTCATCTGGCCATCAACACCTTTGTTTCTAGATGTTGGAGCTTGGCCTGTTTTCCAGTGTAGTCCTGTTTCTCTGACTGTGACTAACTGGATGTGCTCTCTTCATCCTCTGGCATGGGAGCTGGCTCAGAGCTCGTCTGCCTGGCTGTGTGTTTCCTGGACGGGGCCGCCTGTGGAGCTGGTTGACAGTTGCCTTTTGTATTCATGCTTCTTCTTCTGTCTCCTTGTAGCCCAGTCGGCCTCAGCAGATGGCCGCTCACACTGAGCCTGGTTCTGCTGGAGGTTTCTTCCTGTTCAAAGGGAGTTTTTCCTCTCCACTGTTTATACATCATAAACATGATAAACATAGACGACATGTTTCCAAATGAAAGATGGGAGCCGTAATCAGTGACAGAAGAATGAGAGAAATGACATAAGCAGGAGGAAAAACCGATGAATGATCGACAGGAGCAATGCAGCTTCATGTCCAGCAGGTTGAGTTAAAGTCATCAGGAAGTGTTTACCTGGCTGACTGATTGGTCCTTCTGCTGCAGCAGGTCCTCTTTCATCCATTTGCACTGCAGACACACAGAGAGAAGGGTCAGTCTTTCTCACACAATCAACAAGTGAATAAAATAAAGTGCTGCACCAGTACAGACCAGTTAGCACTGGACCAAATGTTTAGAAAATGTTCTGTTGGTTTATTCTCTCCACAGCGCTCACCCTTCCCTATTCCCTGTAGACTGAAGGCCTTAAAGTCTAAGTCTAGTTCATCTTTGCTCCTTTCTGCTCCTCCTTTTGGTTCTCGTCTCTCCTGCTGTCTGATTGATCCCACAAAATCTGCACCTTTTCTTCATCTCACATTTTCTGCTGTTCTTCCTTCAGTTTCAGACCAATGATCCTCCTCCTCTCTTATTTACTGATCTGGAAACATCTTCCTCTAGTTGGTTGGTTGAAGCCATTTCAATGACGTTGCTCCAGGGCTGTACAGGAATTGTTACCCGGATCAGGAAATAGGATGGATTGGTCAGTCACATAGCACCGTTAAAATCGAGCAGATCTTAGAATGGAAACTGTGGAAATAGTCAGTCTCACGGCTTTTTGCTCTGAGAGTTTTAAGTTCCTGGAATTATGGTGGCTTCCAAAGGTTCTGGGAAGAGTTCTGTTGACAGATTAAAGCTGCCTGTATTCCTCCGCCATTGTTCCGTCTCTTGCATGTAGATGCAACAAACGTCCTAATTTTATCTCTCATGTCTGCCAAATATTTTTATTAAAACTTTAACTTGAGTTTTTCCTGCATGTCATCCTTTTTTAAACCTCGTTGAAGTTTTTAATGAAGCTAAACATTAAACAAGAAGCTATTAAAAAACTTCACCTACTGGAGTTGATAAAAACTAAAAACTGCTTCATTCCCAGACGTTTTTTTTTTATCTAGCAGCTTCAGTAGGGAGCCACTTGGTCCAGCCACTTGGTCCAGCTCCTCCAGGGGAATCCCAAGGCGCTCCCAGGCCAGCCGAGAAACATAGTCCCTTCATGGGGGTCCTGGGCCTCCCCCAGGCCTCCTCCTGGTGGGACGTGCCTGGAACACCTCACCAGGGAGACGTCCAGGAGGCATCCTAACCAGATGCCCGAGCCACCTCAACTTGCTCCTCTCGATATGGAGGAGCAGCAGCTCTACTCTGAGTCCTCCGCGGATGACTGCTTCTGCTTGGCCTGGTCTCGTATAGAGCAGCCTTACTGGAACACCGACTGCAAAATCCCGCTGGGAACCTAGCTCTTCTGCAGAAGCATCATTTTTTATTTTAAACCTTAAATATTTATTATTGTTAATTTATCATAAAAAATAAAAATCTGTTTAGCATTGAGGTGCGTTCAGACCAAAGGCTGTGGATTTATGTTTAATATCCCAAATCATACCGCAGCAGGAAGGGTGGGGGAGCGGCCAGCGGTGAAACCCGGACGGTGACGGCGGTTTGTGCTCCGTCCTCACCTCAATAGTAAATTAATAAATTAATTTAAACAATAAATGAAAACATTTCTGTCAAGCCCTGCAGCAGGTTTCAGCGCGGGGAGGTGCCAGGCAGGTGGCTGTTGTAAACAAAGTGGTGGGTTTGTCTCAGACCATGGATCCAAACGGGAAAAAAAGGAAGATAGCTGATGATTCAAAGAATGGAGCGAATCATTTTCTTTCATTATCAATGAGTAAGAATTGCCTGTATGTTTGCTTTTAATGGGAAGTTATCAAATTTGGAAAGGCCTTTCCAGGGAAGGCAAGCTACATATTCAGCCCACCACCAAGCTGGGAGTGAGAGAAAAAGTGCAATTGCAGAACTTCTGGATAAATTAGAGGAGAGCAAAGATACACTATATTGCCAAAAGTATTTGCTCACCCATCCAAATTATTGGAATCAGGTGTTCCAATCACTTCCATGGCCACAGGTGTATAAATTCAAGCACCTAGGCATGCAGACTGTTTTTACAAACATTTGTGAAAGAATGGGTCGCTCTCAGGAGCTCAGTGAATTCCAGCGTGGAACTGTGATAGGATGCCACCTGTGCAACAAATCCAGTCGTGAAATTTCCTCGCTCCTAAATATTCCACAGTCAACTGTCAGCTGTATTATAAGAAAATGGAAGTGTTTGGGAACGACAGCAACTCAGCCACGAAGTGGTAGGCCACGTAAACTGACGGAGCGGGGTCAGCGGATGCTGAAGCGCATAGTGCGAAGAGGTCGCCAACTTTCTGCAGAGTCAATCACTACAGACCTCCAAACTTCATGTGGCCTTCAGATTAGCTCAAGAACAGTGCGCAGAGAGCTTCATGGAATGGGTTTCCATGGTCGAGCAGCTGCATCCAAGCCATACATCACCAAGTGCAATGCAAAGCGTCGGATGCGGTGGTGTAAAGCACGCCGCCACTGGACTCTAGAGCAGTGGAGACGCGTTCTCTGGAGTGACGAATCGCGCTTCTCCATCTGGCAATCTGATGGACGGGTCTGGGTTTGGCGGTTGCCAGGAGAACGGTACTTGTCTGACTGCATTGTGCCAAGTGTAAAGTTTGGTGGAGGGGGGATTATGGTGTGAGGTTGTTTTTCAGGAGCTGGGCTTGGCCCCTTAGTTCCAGTGAAAGGAACTCTGAATGCTTCAGCATACCAAGACATTTTGGACAATTCCATGCTCCCAACTTTGTGGGAACAGTTTGGAGCTGGCCCCTTCCTCTTCCAACATGACTGTGCACCAGTGCACAAAGCAAGGTCCATAAAGACATGGATGACAGAGTCTGGTGTGGATGAACTTGACTGGCCTGCACAGAGTCCTGACCTCAACCCGATAGAACACCTTTGGGATGAATTAGAGCGGAGACTGAGAGCCAGGCCTTCTCGTCCAACATCAGTGTGCGACCTCACAAATGCGCTTCTGGACCTTGTGGACAGCCTTCCCAGAAGAGTTGAAGCTGTTCTAGCTGCAAAGGGTGGACCGACGTCATATTGAACCCTATGGATTAGGAACGGGATGTCACTTAAGCTCATATGTGAGTCAAGGCAGGTGAGCAAATACTTTTGGCAATATAGTGTAGATTTAAGGAGCGGGTTGCATCTCTAAACTCCACTACTGCTGCTAGTTTGGTTGCAAGCATAGAAAACCGTTCATAGATCCAACAGGTAGCGCTCTGATGCAGGGATGGGAATCCTCAAAATAAAAATAACACCAAAAATCTGATTTCTTTATTGTGTTTTTATAATTTCATCTATGCAGCCAAACCTAATACATTAATATTGTAATGGAATTTAAACTTAAATCATTAAATATGGTAAAGCAGAGTCACTTTATGTGACATTTGCTCCTAGATAAACATTTAATCATGAATGCTTATTATAGATTTAAGCCCAGGTAGTCCTTTTTTATAGTGAGCTAATAAACTTAGTGTCGCCATATGAGGCTTATAGAAGACTTTAACATTTTTGTGGCTAAAGACAGATTTGTTTTTCGTTTTTTTGGTCCAATATGGCTCTTTCAGCAGTTTGGGTTGCCAAACCTTGGACTAGAGGGACCGTTTGCTGTCCCCCCCTATCCAGAACAGACCCCCCTGTCACCGTCTCTCCACATCACTCAGGGGCAGATTTAGAAAATTTGGGGCCCTAGACAAAGACAGGCAGGGGGCCCTGTGAATTGAGAAGACAACACATAAAATAGACCCATTCTACACATAGAGAAATGTTAATAGAATAGACATCCATTATTTGTTCTAGGTTTTGTCCCTCTCTTCTTGTTTTCCTCTCTGTTTTGTACTCAGCTGACTTTTCTCTAAAGGAATGAAAAGACTTTTTTCCAAGCACTAAGCTCACTTAGCTGATTGCTCCTTCCTGTGTTTCCAAAAAGGCCAAAGTAAATAACCCAGTCCTTCTTTTCACTGTAGACAAGCCATGATCTGCTTATCTGTTCTCCATTTTTCATTTGGATGAAATAATAGCTGCATGAATCATGACAGCAGACAAGATAGAGGAGAGCAGGAGGCGGGGTTACCAATCTACTTGCTCTGGAGAGCAGAGTTCGCTGCTTTTAGATGTTGTCACCAAAGTCTCCAGTAGCAGAAAAAAGTCGCTAGATTTTCCGCTAGGCACTTTTTTAAACTAAAAGTGCTAGAGGGGTCTGAAAAGTCGCTAAATATAGTGACTAGAGCCAAGTTGGGGCGGCTTTGGTGGCACAGTGGTTAGCGCACACCACCCATGTATGGAGGCCTTAGTCCTCGATGCGGGCGATCCGGGTTTGAATCTGGCTTGTGGTCCTTTCCCGCATGTCTCTCCCCCTTTCTAATACCCCCTTTTCTGTAGGCCTATTGTCCATTAAAAAGGCAACAGTGCTCTTTGCATTGTTTGTTTTAAATGGTTTGCTGCTGCCTGTTTGGACCTTTCTGAACATGTGCAGCAAATGGACTGATCCAATATGGGGACACTGAAGGGGGGGGGGGGGGCTCGGGGTTTGGGTGGCCGAGACACACTTATAAGCGTTCTGATGGCATTTTAGCCGAAGGATTTTTATCAAAAACATAATGTGCACAAATAAGGAATAGTTGTATTAACCACACATGTAAACAGAGTTTTATCGGGCCCCCAGGAAGTTGGGGCCCTAAGCAAATGCATAGTATTGCCTAGAGGTAAATCCCCCCCCTACCAGCACTGCTGCTCTCTGCCCACCTAGATGAAGTACCACCGAATCCGACCGTCATCCACCAGAGACATGTCCGTACTGCTGGAGCCGCTCTGAGCGTTCAGAACGCATCGCTGACCAACATCTCAGCTTCCTGCTCTGGAACAATCCGTGTTGATTTGGGGAAGGAGAGTTTAAAGACTCAGGGCACTGGATTATGTCCAAAGCCTGTGTGGTAACTCAGCTTGTCTGCAGCTCAATTGGTCACAGTTAGGGTTGAGTTTCCTGATACTAACCGTCATGTCAGAACGACACAGCTCTGAGCGCTCTGAGCCCTCCCAACCTGCTCTGCACTGACAGCAGGAGTCAGAAATGAGGCTATAAGACCAAGATCAAACCTCAGCCACTGATCTCATTTAGAAACAAAAAG